CGCCATGGGTGGTGCTTCAGTCTTTTGGTAGCCAGCAATGGCCTCTAACGACTGAGTCGTTATAGCCCGGTATCGGTGAGCGTCATACCGGTTTTTGAACCTTCACATGTGGCCCGACGCCTCTTGTCCTGGTGTGAATTAGGGTGGGAATGTTGGGGTAGAGATTTCAAAACAGAATTGTAGATGCATGACAAGTTGTTTTAGTCCACCACCCCCTATTTAGTGAGGGGTGTTCTAGTTTTACGAAAATAGCTTCCTTAACTCCTCTCTCAAACCAGTGATGTTCTCTGGAGAGGATCTGGACTTCACTGTCCTCAAAAGAATGTCCTTTGTCCTTCAGGTGGAGGTGGACTGCTGACTCTGGTCCACTGGAGTTGGCCCTCCTGTGTTGGGCCATGCGTTTGTGAAGTGACTGCTTAGTTTCACCAATGTACAAGTTGTTACACACAGTAAATATCTTTGATGCAATGCCATTCGGGCAGAACTGATGAAGCCTCTTGGATGAGAGATGAAACGTTTTCGATCTAGAAATCTAGCCCAGTTGATTTTTTCTAAGTTTTTTTTTTTCAGCTCACTATGACCTGGATGACTGAGAATCTGCACAGACAAGAAAAAACCCACTCTTTTTTCTCAGTGTGAAAAAATATATGGACATTCCAAGGAGTTGTATTTTATGTGAGGTGCACCTTACCTTAAGTGGTTGTTTATTTTTCAACTGTGATTAACGTTTTTTTTGTGCCATAGTTCTTTCTGCTGTAGGCCTACTGTTAAGCTTTAGTCCCCCTCACTGGGAGGATGAGGGACAACTGAGGGTGGACTCAAAATTGCCGACCCAGGTGCTAGTTAAAAAAAGGAGGTTTAATGGAACAAAAACACAAAGTAACAACATAACAAGGGCCATGTACATATATAAGCAACGTAGGGCAGAGATGGTGGAGGAGACCAGGACGAACAGGTAAACAGATAAACTGACGGCAGGAATCAGGAGAGCAGGAGGATGAGGACGGACAGGTGAATAGACAGACCAACCAGGAGGAGTGGCGAACGAAAGGGATATCCACAGCACAGGAACTGTCAGCTTTGGTATAAAAATAACGTTTGGCTAACCTCATGGAAGGAACAAACAAAGAGAGCCACAGCACAGGAACTGTCAGCCAGGAAATCAAAATGACATACAAACATAATACCATGAAAATAGGTATAATACAAGTTAGGTAACTTAGGTAATGCTTCGGCGATGACGGAGCGTCTGCCAGAGGTAGACCAATACCTGCTTTTTGACTCACACCATCCACTTTAACACAAACTGGGAGTCATCACTAATTAAAACAATCATGAGTTTTGTTGGTAATGTTAGTAAGTAAAACTAAAATCTTTCAGAGGAATGAGTGTCTAACTTCAAGCTGTGTAACAGCTCATTCCAATAGTGAGGTGCACAGCACTGGAAACCAGTCTTCCCTAATTCAGAGTTGGTATTAGAAACCTTTGAGCCCAGTCTCTCCTGAGATCTGGTGTCACAGTTATGAACTCTGAACTCATCTAGGGATGTTAAATATCTTGGTAGCTAGCAAGGCCTTATAGACAACAGTGAAGGTGATAAAAACATGTTTGGTAAGTAAACTGGCTATTGTGGACAAGTTATACAAACAGATTTACATTTACATGCACTGAGTGATACCACCTGGTCCTCAGTCTAGTCTTGTCTCTGCCTAAATTTCACAGGTGATCCGTGAGTGACATCCTCTATCTGTCCTCTGTGACAGATTATTATATGGAAGCGTTCAAGATGTAATACTGACATTGCTTATATACTGTATCCACACACAGTCTCTAAATGGATTGTCATGCAGTTCATTCAATTTGAGTGGATTTTCAGTTCATGTTAAGAAACAAGATTTCTCTTCATACAAAACTTGTTTGTGAAAAAAAAATCAAATCATAATACAAATTGCAGTTTGACTAAATAACATCCCTGTGTGAAGGTGTTTTGACTGTAACTTTGTCACAGAGATTGAAGCTGAATGTGAATTTACGCCAATAAATATCTCATTTGGAGATGAAATGGCTTCACTAGTGGAGAAAACCTGATTCCACACTCTGTGACTTCCCCGTATATCAGAGCATGGTTTTGTGTGGCTGTTGTGATGGTGGCTCATATTTATTTTGGTGTAGAAAGCAGGAACACTGCCATCAGGTGTTACCACATAGTAACTAACACAGTGTTAGTTTCCAATTGACTTCCCCACATATCCACATCAAATTTAAAATTTGGCGTGGATTATCCAAAAAAACAAAACAAAACAAAACAACAACTAAGCTAATTTCACTATTGATGTCCGTTTTCAACTTTTGTCTAATGTATAGAAATAATTTTTTATGTTTCAATGAAAAGTTTGAGTGAAAACAAAAATTTTGCAGCAGTGAGTTTGTAATATAAATACACTGGGCCAAAAATCTGGTAATTTAGATAAGAAATAGTTTTTTAAAATTTACTTGATCGCCTTGATTATTAATCAGGGTCTGGCTGATTTACTGAAATGCTTTTTGGGTGGGTATTACATTTGAACTTAGAGGAGAATGATAGTTTTCATGTTAAATCTGTTCCATATTCCATTTTTCCATTTGGTTTGCTGCCACGTCTGTCATGTTGTGTTGAGCGTTATGTATGTGGAAAGAAAGTACTTTAGTGAAATTTAATCTGTTTGAATAAAACACTCTTTATTGACGTTAACCTCTCGTTGTGTATTTTTCCCCACAATCTTACCAGTGATCAACCCGCTTTACCAGTTTCTTTACTTGAATCACAATGTTAACACTCTGGTTTCATACAGTAAAAAGTACTGCCAAAGTATCTTTTTAAAAATCTCAAACCAGTGTACATATTCACACTGAAACCTGCACACACACAAACCAGTATCAACGCTTGCTCCATTTTGAAGTTTCTCCTGTGAAACTGAACATACAGATCAACCAGACAAGATTCAGAAGATCAAATTCAAGTCTCCCAACAACTGGCGTCACAGTGTGCTGTCAAAACTAAAGATGCCTCAGCAGATTACAGCCACCTCCTGCCTCCTCCTGTGGTGGCCAGTTCAATTAAAAACTCATGATAAAAGAACATTTAAACACAATCCAAAAGACTTTCTAAAATCCTGATGTACTGTTGTATATAAAAAGTATCTCACCATTTGTGAAAGGTCCAAAGTGTGCAGTCAGGCTGTTTACTTACTGCTGATCCAGAACTGTCCAGTAGTCTTACTATGTTGTATTTTACTGGTATGCAAGTATGAGTTTGACTAAAAACGTACATGTTGGTCATAAGAAAACATATAAAAGGGGCATTACACATTCATTATTAGATTTTAGTAGCATATCATTCCTCTGTGTTGTAGTGAATAAATGCTACAGTCAGTGGATATGGTTTGTCATGATTACTGTTCTTGTTTCTTTGCCATCTGAACACAAAAGCTAAAGCATATGGTGTATTTTTGGAGCCAAATTCCTACCGCAGACAGTGTTTGTTCTTAGCATTCTCAAAACACACAGCAAGTGCATGTTGTTTGGATGATGTCAGAATTAGCATTTAGACATCAGATGTGTTTTTTTTTTTAAGAAATGACTAAATCAAAGATCTACAAAGTTAATGGCTGTCTTTTACTACATATTACTACATATTTTGGCCATTCCATGCAAAAAAAAAAACAATAAAAGAAAACATTATTGGCACTGAAGGGTCTTGTTATACAGTAGTCTTACAAATGCTGCTGCCTTGTACTGACAATAAAATGACTGACCTGGTTCATTTGTAGAATAGCAATGAACAACTGTTCACATAATTGGGGGCGGCTGTGGTTCAGGAGGTAGAGCGCGTTGGTGGTCCGATTTCCGGCTTCTCCAGTCCACATGTTGACGTCTCCATGGACAAGACACTGAACCCCTAGTTGTTCCTGGTGGCTGTCCCATCAGTGTGTGAGTGTGGAAATGCTTGCACGCATGAAAGGGTGAATGGGAAATAGTGCACCTCACTGTGTAGAAAAGTGCAATATGAATATCAGAACGTTTACAGTCTAGGTTTACAGCACACTTACAAAGGACACATAATGACAACAACACACTAACTGCACTACAAAATATATCTACCAAAGTCATTTAATCTTATAGTAAGTCTTTATCTAGTATTACAAAAAGAAAAAAAACCCTTTTATGAAATATTTTGTAAGAACATGACATTAAACAACATAAAATTGCATTTTGTGCACTGTGGTCCTTGTAGTAGGAAGCAGTGTGGGGTCTGCGGCCCACCAGCCTCCATGGTCCCGTGATGACATCCACTGGCGAATGTTTTCATCCCGGTGTCCTGCTTGTGTTAACTCAAAGTCCTCTGCTGCCTGAGAACGTCATAGATGTCATCCACTTTGCTTAGCTTCTCAAAGAAGGGGATAAGATCGAGGAGCTCGGTGTCTGACATGTCATCAAACCAGGATGCTACGGGAACCTAGAGGTGCATGACATTTAAAGACCTTTTCATGATTCCATAGCACACAGCACAACACTAAAGTAACACTGTTCCTAAAACAAAAAAGCAATGTTTCAAATTTTAGTGAATAACAGACAACTATTAGATGTCTTCTAAATACATTTATACTATACAGTCGCTTCACAAAGTATTCGACTCCTTCACTTTTTGCCCACTGTTGAAACATTTTTAGAAATGTGTGCACATCTTAAAATTCAACAATCTTAAATCAATCATTTATAGAAGTATTCAGAGCGTTTGCTGTGGCGCCCCACATTGAGTTCCTGTTTGTTTTAAAGGCACACACCTGTGTGTATAAGGTCCCACAACTCACACTGCCTGTCAGGACAAAAAGCAAGCCGTCCTCAGATCTCTGTGATAGAAATGATTAATGCAGCCAAAGAGAGACAGGTCCTTGAAGGAACACAACATGAGACACGCAGTAGAATGGGCGGTGTTCACCTTTCAGCACAACAATGACCTGAAGCAAACAGCCAAGACAACACTACAGTGGCTGCAGGACAAGTCTGTGTCCTCGAGTGGCCCAGCCAAAGCCCAGACTGGAACCTTATACAACATTTGTGGAGAAACCTGAAGATGGCAGCACACAAACACTTCCCATCCAATCTGTTAGAGCTTCAGAGGATCTGGCTGGAAGAATGGAATAAACTGCTTAAATCGAGGTGTGCACAGCTTGTAGACATACCCAAACAAACTCAAAGCTGCCTCTGCACCCAAAGGGGCTTCTACAAAGTACTGAAATAAGGGTTTGAATATTTTATCAATGAGCGATTTTGATTTTTTTTTTTTTATTAAATTAATAAATGCAAAAGAAGTTGAAATATTTTTCCACTTTGTCATTGTGGGTTACTGAGTGTAGATCGACAGGGCAAATGGTGGTTTTATCTGTACCACAAAGTGAACAAAACGTGAAGGGGTCTGAAGATTTTCTGAAGCAGCTATGTCTGTGTATTGCAGAGAACAAAATGTAAATGGCATACTGCATTGTCAGGCTGGAAGACATAGGAGGCTGGGGAGTTGTCAATGATGATGACTTTGTTGAGGTCTCTTCCTAAAAAGCTCAGGTCTTTTACATAGCTCCCTTTGTGGAAGACACAGGACTCCCGGAAGAGGCGACTTCGGAAGGTCCCCCATTTGTCCAACAGGTCAGACACAGGATCAGCATACTAGAGAAGCAGAAAAAAAAATTAAAATTAAGAATCCAGGGGGCTAGCTTGAAAAATTCATCTGCTGTGTTCATGTGTAATTATATGGCTATACAGGATTTATGTCTTGGTATGGTGTCAAATTTTACTGTATAAGATTTATGAGTAATGATGAAAAACAAAGACATGTGCATGAGCAATAAGAATGGCACAAACACTTTCCAATCAAAAGCAACAAAAACTGTCTACTCGATTATGTATGGTTCCTTACAAGCTGTTTTTAAATTTTTCTTTTATATATCATTTAGAGCCAAATAACCACATAAGGAACAAAACATAAACACAGAAAAAACATACATAACTCACCATAACAAACACAATATTTAAGCTTGTCGTTTTCACTAGTAAGCATTTTAAACCTGAACATCCAACCATCCATTATCTATACCACATGTTCCTGAGCAGTGTCAAAGGGTAAACATAAACATTTTAAAACATAATGTCCTACTGTTTCAAACATAAAGCATAAAAATGTCTGTCAGCCACAAAGAAGTGATACCTCCACCATTTAAGCTTGGACATTTTCAGGAACAGCAGGCGGCGGAGCAGCGTTTGATTCCTGACACTCAATCTAGAATGTGCCCATGATACTGTCAAGTGATGTAGAGAAACATGGCAGAGTTTAAAATGTCTCTTCAATCACCTGACAGATATCATAAATATATCTTTATGAGGGTGTTTATATGTGGAAGGTCAACTGTAAATCACACCAACAAAACAAAGCTTGGCTTCCAGTAATTTTAACATTCAAGTATGGGCGGATCTGGATGGTTGGACAGTGTTCGTTTGCAATATCCAGCCTGTATGTTGTGGTGAAATCTTAACAAAAAGTGACACAGACTCATCAGTCTGACCTTGGCTAAACTTGCGGTGAACAAAACACACTCAAACAATTCTCCCATCCTCTTGAGGAATTCGTCAACATGGGGTCTCTTTAACACATACACCTGGATGGAGACAAAAAGGAGCATGAAATGTAACGCATACTTTAGTGTGTAGTAATATGACCAGGAACACAAACTACCAGGGGAAATATGTATGGACAAAGGTGTCTCTGAAGGTGTCACACTTCATTCATTCAATCATTTAGATTTTCCAAAGGCGGTGTCTTCAAATGTCTTGTTTATTCCAACCATTGAATCCAAAGACAATTTGTTTATTCTCACATCTGACAAAGAAAAGCATCAGTTCCTCACATTAAAGAAGGTGGAACCAGAAAATGTTTGATTGGTGATTATCCCTTCAAAACAGTTGCTGGTTAATGTTCTATGAGTGAACTGACTCATGGCTGCAGCTCCGGGTTTCTGAATGGCCTAATGAGTATGAAACAGTGTGTTGGACACAATGAGGGGATCTGTTTCAGAGGAGAGATCATTCCTCCGTCCGGCAGAGGAACGGTGAGGCTGATCTGGAGACGCTTCACTAAAAACACTGTGCCGGTCATTTAATGTTAGTTTTTATCTATTTGTCACCCGTCTGTATGTCTGCATGAAGTGCATCACCTGCACTTCAAAGATTATTTGAAAGCCATAGTTGATGGATATAAATGTTATGGTGTAATCCACTGTGATTTTCTCTGTCATCAACATCACTTTCTTTGGTCTAGTATGTATTGTAGTATGCATCACAGTATGCATTGTGTGCATGAAAAAAGAACAGACAACAATATATGCAAGAACTCCAGCAGGAGTTTATACTATCTACTTCCACTATGATGCTGGCAGCCTTGTTTCTGAACCAAGTCATCCTGAATAGGCTTCCCCCACTTTAACAAGCCTATCCTGGATTACTTGAAACAGACCCAGGCCCTTTGGATAGCACAGTTCCTTTTTCTTCTCAGAGGCCCAGCACAACAGACTGCAGAAAGCATTTACAGTCTACAGGGAAAAGTCACCGCCATTCTCCAGCACCACTGAGCAGGACAAAACATGGCCGGTGATTTCTGAGAAGCCTGCCAGGGATTCCTCATTTCGTCACGCTACTGAAATAGCCACCTGCTGCTCGGAGTCGTCAACAGAGAGGGCTACAGAACTGTCAGTGTTTCCACTGCAAACTGGAACCGCCATGTAAGATTTCTCAATTTTAAACTCAAGACCCCATAAACCATTTTACTTTTCAGGTCAGATGGTGTAGAGGCCATATTTGGTTACTAATGTGTGGTATATACAGTGCAGCGTGGGGAGTCCTGACACGGTGATGCCTTGTATCAATGCTGCTAGCATAGTTTTCTTAAGAAAAGCACTGGGGCTTTTAGCAAGACGTCTACTGTGCATGTTGAAAGTATAACTTCCACAGGTGCTTTATGCTTTAACATTTCAGTGATGTGACTGGAGCAGCACAATAAGACAGTAAAGAGTCAGTTAAGTTCATACCTGGTGAATTGTTCCATCAATCTCCACTGGAATGATAAAGTCTGCACTGTTCACTGGCTGTGGAAAACACAAGCAGGAGTGTTACACCCAGTAAATATCAGTTTCCACATTATGTCCCCAGAAAATCAACACTTTTTCAAAGGGATGAGAGTGTGACATAAGCACAAAGACACCACTGTCGGTGTGTTTAAAACAGCACAACACCGTAAATAATATGGCTCAAGTCACTTGTCATGTCATTGACATGGCTCAGTTCTTACACCTGATTATGCGTCTCAAATGTTAGTATCACCCCAAGTGTGTTCTAGATAAGGTATTACATCATGGCTCAAGTTGGAACACTATGAAGTAATGCAAGTTAGACGACATACACAACAGCTGTAAGTATAGATTCACGATTACTGCAGAGGATTGTTCCAGTGTTGGATTGTGTCCTGTACCTACATCAGCTGGTGCAAATGTTTTAGAATTTTTTTTGAAATCTCAGATGAGTTATTGCAGTTTTTTGTTCTTTTTTGTCATAGTGAAGTTCTGCTGACATGAAAAATGTGGCAATGAAAGCAGCCTGAACTCAAACTCGTAATAATCAAATGCTATACCTGCATTCACTGCCGTTTCTTTGCCTTGTTTGAGTTTGACTTTATAAACCAGACGCTCATTATTCCTCCATTATTTTGCATTGAACAGTTTGTGTGAACTAAAATGTAAGAAGGCAAAGTGGCCAGCTGCTGAAAAGGATGTGCTTGTGTGACAATATGGCTGGGTAGAGATTGGATATCATTTCCAAATGAGATGACTTCAGAATGATATTTAATACTTCACAGATTGTGAAGCCTGAAGATATTTTTTTCTACAGTTTGATAGTTTTCCATTTCAAATAAAACTGCATATTTTCTATTTGAATGGCTTACAAAAGAAGTCACACACACTATGCTGGCTTTCCACATACAACCAACCTTTAAACCGTTATTTTTTAGTAAGAATGACTTTTATTATCCATCTTGTGTTAAAGATGTAATTCACAGAGTCTGACTGTTTACACACAGTTAGTGACAATATCCAGTGACATCCTCTAAGACAGTCTGTGATATGAGAAGGACTCAGCGCCGCGTGGCATCTATTATATAAACTGTCGTGGCACAGCAACCTTGACTTTTGGCATTGATTACTTTGTTCAATGAATGATACCTTATAAGGTATCAAACTAAACAAAATGAAGCTGGTTATTAATAGGAACAGTGTAAAACTCAATACTGTTTTTAACACTAATTGATTTAAACATGGGTAAATGATATTTTTCAGTCTATTTAAAAAGGTTTGTGTCATTTTTCTTATAAGAAGGAACAGTCACAAGCCATTTTGTAAAAAATGTCAGTTACTCAGATCTAATGGTATATTACTTGTAATAGCACATTACACGTAACAGAAGAACTTCACTTATCATCTGCAATTTTCTCTGATTTTGATGGTTTTCCATAGCGCTCACTTAGATTTTTAGATGCAGGTGGGTTCTGCATCACGAAACCAGAGCAGCCATAAAGAAAATGGTAAATGTTTAGGTGGCACATGAGCCCAGTCCTTTAAGATAAAAATAAGTCATCCGCCTCCTAAAAATATGCAAAATGATGAAGTGCACATGCTTCCCAACTCTTGTTTGGCAAGTAGATTGTTTGCTTTGAGCAAATGAATAGTTCTCAGTGAGGGTATCCTCGTTATTTCCTAATAATTACAAACAAACTTTTAAGTAATTATAAGCTAAAAGTATTTAAAAAAGGCTATAAAAACCATTTAGACTAAGAGACTAATCTGGATAAACGTGAGTTATTTTTTAAAATTTAAATATAAAAAATGTAAACATTATTTTTTTTTATAAAACACTTGCAGTCATTGTTTCAAACACTGTATAATGTTTAAATGTGTAAAACTATAATTAGCTCAACATGCTATGCTGTATATCTGTTCAGAATGAATGGATGAAAGACAGGTATGAAAGATATTTCCTGGGGATGACAACGAAGGCCAAAGCTCAGAGTGAACAGCTGCTGAGTGGGCAGCTGCTTTTAGTTTATAACTAAACCATCACAAACCAAATCTCACTGAGTTGCAGACATGTCTGTCTACTGTAAATATTGTTCATGTTATGCACTGTGTTATGTTATTGTTTTGGGAAATATAGTTCTGCTCTTTCTTGGTGAGAATCAAATGAGTAGATTACAATTTTCAAGCCTGTATGTTAAATACAGTATGAAGCTACAGCCTGCACCTGGTTAGCTTAGCCAGCTTGCACCTGGTTAGCTTAGCCAGCTTTACTATGTCTCATCCACCTCACAGCATCTCTGAAGCTCACCAAATAAAAAGTTGTACATTGTTTGTTTATTGTGTACAAAGTGCACGGAATAAAAACAAAAAGCAATGTTTTTATGGGGGTTATGTGTGGATTATTTCTTGGATGAGAGCAGTTACTGCTCAGGGCCAAAACCTAAGCACAATGTGTCTCTGTGTGCCAAGTTGAAGTGGAGTGAAACCCACAACCAGATGGCACAACAGGTACTTCGCCAATAAACAAGTCACACAATGAAGCTCTGGTTTTTTTCTGGGAGAAAAAGATTTATCATTTGGAAGTCCTATTTTTAAACCACGGGTAAAACTTTAAACCTAACTGGGAGACAACAAGCATGAATCTACCACCCGCCCATATGGACCTAACACTGGGACCTGGCGATGAATGGACAGTTTTTACACCAGTAGCCTACTGTCTAATTTGTCAGCAAACAATTTGAATGGTACTTTAATCACATTCTATATATAAAACTCCCAGTGAGAGGAAATGTTTGTATTTTAGATCAGTCAGTGAACCCTGTAAAGCACATGACTATGAGAAAGGAGGTGACACAGACAAACCTACCTTAAATGAACTATGCACTAGTGTTTCATCCAAATCAATGACCACACAGATCTTCCCTGTATCATTCGATTTCATCTGTGGGAGCAGTGGTTTTGCTGGGGCCTGAAGAGAAACAGTTAGTTAAAACATAAAGTTCATTTATGGTGAAGTTTGCCCTAAATTAAAAAGCTCTTTTGCTTTCAAGTACACAATAAGAGCAGCAGCCACAACTTACAAGAACTACTCTTGACATAAGAAGTTACCATCTTGTGTGTATGTGCTTCTCAACACATTAGAGGCTGGATTGTGTTGAAGTGTTTCGGTAAGGGGTTACAGGACACCCTGGATGCTACAGCTGCTGCCACGTTGATGGAGAGTGTAAATATCACAATACCATGTCTCATCCTTCAACAAGTGGTCAGAGATTAGTGTTTGTTAATGTGATTCAGATTCTAAAAAGGTTTACGTGACATTACACTGACTCATGTGTGTGTCTGTGTTTCAAGAGCTTCCAGTTGAGGATAATGGGAAAGCTGGAGTTTGACACAGATACCACATAATCTGTCACAGTAAAAAAGTAAACGTTTCTTGCCACAGCTTGTCATACAGCCTTAAAACATAATACAAACAGGCCAACAATGTTTGACTTGATTTTGGGATCATTTAAACTTTAACCCACAATTCTGAAAGCACAATCTCCTCTAGTATTTCACAGTTAAAGTGCAAATACTTATAAATACCTGCTGTGTCAGTGGACAGCAGTACACGCATTCACAAGGCTCGAAGGATTCGTCATCGCTCTGCTCTTCTTCCCATTCCTCGCTTTGTTCCAAAGCCTTATTTTCTTCATCCTGTGCATCCCTTCCCTCGATTTTGGCAGGTTCTGAGACAACACTGTGAATAACATCTATAGGAGGGCTTATTTCCCCTGAAATGTTATTTAACCCAGGGTCCTTGTCTGAATCTGGAGTTTGTTCACTACCTGTTTTTTCTACAGCAGAGCAGTTGACTATATTTTCATCCAGTTCAGTAACTTCAGTAATTCTGAAGGTGACTTTTTTGCACTCCTCTGGGCAAACTTCAGCAGCCTCAGTCTCCTTAACAGGTAAAAGAGCATCTTCTGTTTCATTCAGAAAAGCATCCCCATTGGTTTCTTCATTGACTATTTGATATGACTTTCTGTTTAGAATAAATTCATTCAGGGCTTGTTCAACAGAAGACTGAATACTTTTAATCTGATATGCATAGTACTCCTCAACATCTGGCTCAAACACCTCTCCATTATCTACGGTATATATAAGTGACCAGTATGACTCCATTTCTGAACATTCAGTAAACGTCTTGTCTTCAGGCTCAGGCTCATCATCCTTTCTGAAATCAATAGCAGCAGACCATACGTGATCAATCATAGAAATTTTGTTATCAAGAAATTCATAATTCTGGACACCACAGATCGCATCTTCATAAGCATCACTTTCAACAAAAATGTCCTTGGCACATGGCGCACACATACTTTCCTTGTTACCATAAGCTGAGCAGCCCTGAGCTGCTTCATCATCAGAGATTTCAGAAACATGGCCCTCTGATGTGCAAGCTGCTTCGTGAAAAGTAGTTTCATCTTCCTCTGCTTCTACATATGGTGCATGAGCTTCATACTCAATTTGTTCAACCTCATCTTCAGCTAAACTTGATTCTGAATCTACAATCCAGTCTTCAGGTTTTGCCTCAGACTCACAGTCACCTTCGGTATGTGCGTCTTCCTCAGAATAATCTTCATACGCTTCTTCAAGAGCATCAAAACACACATCAGCTCCCTGTACATTAATTTCCTCAAATGTATATGCATTTTTGGCACTACATTTCAGCGGGTCTTCTTTAAGATACAGGCAGTCATGTATATCTCCGCCTTCAAAACAGGAGATGTAATGTTGCTTTTGTGCAAAAGCGCATCCGTAATAATCATCTCTGTCAAATAAATCAAAGTAATCCTCAATAATATCAACAGTGGGTGTTTTCTTCTCATCCTCATTACTTTTGTTAGGATTTCTTTGTTCTATTTCATCATCTTCAAAAGATTCCCACAGCGCCTGCTCATCACTTGATTCTTCCTGAGCTCCCTTTTCAGACTCCCCAGATGAATCTGAGCAGGGATCTGAAGGAATACTTCCATCAGGACAAGTCTTAAAGGATTTGCTTTCCATAGAAGAGCAATCTGATGAGCCGTCTTCTTCGGTGCAAAACTCTAAACTGTCACGGGTTTTGTCAGAAGTTGGATGTTGCTGAGTTTGTTCAAATGCTGGGTTTGTTTCACAGTCACCAATTCTGCACATCTCACAGTGACTTGTGGACATATCTATTGCAGTATCTTGCTGTGAGGGTTCTTTGCCATCCAGATATTTTTCACAGCATTCACAAGCAAAGCAAAGATCTTCACTGTCATCAAAATATTCTTGATCAGCTGCGTCAAAATGTGATGAGTTTACTTCTTCCCATAACCCGCAGGACTCATCATAACTTGCCTCGGTTTCATTTTGTTCAGGTGGATAGCTCTCTTCTTCATCATTATCTGTGTACTCAGTTTGAGTCTGAATCTCGTCACACTCACAAAGTTCTGTGCCACAGTACGATAAGTCCGCTGAGTCAGAGGTGGTAGGTGTGAAACCAGTCGTTTCACGTGGTTCAGAGTCCTCTGTTGATGTGTCAGGCTCTGAGTCAAAGCACTGACACTGCTGATCAGAAGGTTCATGTTCCGGTAGTAACTCGAGGTGGTCAGTGCTGCCCTTTATGAAACAAGACATTTCACAGTGCCCAGAAATGTCAGAGTTCACCGGAAATTTACCAGGCTCATAGTCAGAAGACTCAAACTGTTGAGCAGAGGGCCTACATTGCTGAAATAATCTGAGATGTTCGGCGCAGTCTTCACAACAAGGGCTGCATTTGGAAGATAAGCTATGGACATTGCAGTACTCAGAGGACCTGCAAGACTTTAAACACTCACAGTTTTGAGCACACACGTCAGATGGCTGGCTTAACAGAGATGCTTTACACTTATTGAGGATCTGGTCGGATTCAAACAATCTGTTGCTTGCTGAATACTGTTCAAAGCCTTCAGCATGTCCATTGCAGTATATGAAGGATTCAGATTCATCTCTGTTCATGTTGCAGTGTTCCACACATAGGAGGGAAGAGTCCACTTCTCTGCTTATGGTTTGCTCAGTATATTCCACAAGGGCATCTATGCCAAGTTCACCACTTCCCTTTGAAGGCCTGGTTAACTCTGTAACTTCTGTCAGTTTGGGGATCTGGCATTGTTCGGTAAGCATGGCTTCAGTAGACGGCTCCCCTTCTCCACACACTTTAGTTTGCTCAGCGTTTTCCAGATACATCAGGGAATTGTTTCTCAGTCTTGGCTATGTTTGTTCAAAGCTGATGTTCCATGCAGTAGGTCAAGGTCTTGCTGTCTCCAAGGATCTTGCAGAATCCAAGTCCACAAAATTGGCAGGTAACTGTAGGTTCCATTCAGAATGGATATTCACACAGCTGATGGGGTGAATCACTGAGACCACAGTCTGCCTGAGAGAGCAACAGCAATAGGAGCAGCATGCACGTTGACATGACAGGTTGTCACAACCAAAACTGAGACTAGCACTTGACTCGACCCCCCCTTTGCCAGAGACCACACAATTTATTTTGGGGGCTTGGAAAGATGTGACAAATAACTTGTACAATATCAAATTTCTATAAAAGGCTGAACTAAGGCATAAATCTGAAACTGACACCTGAGAACATCTTGACCACTTGATCTGCAGTCCAGAACTGCCAAGAGCCATGTTGTTTTCCAAGAATACACTCCGTTATACTATAGATCACAAAATGACACATAACGACGAGTGGTCAGTCAGTGGGGGACCAAAACACCATCAGATATGTAAACATCATAACCACTCATTTGTTTATATTCAATTATCTTTCAAACACAAATCCTCTGTTTATTATTATTGATAATCTAATAATCACTCAATTATCAATTTCTATAATTTAACCCTTATGAACCTAGGACGGGTTTATTAAGAGCACATGCTCCAAATCACTCCTGACACCTGCTCTGCTTTATAGTTTTCTGCTGGTTTCTCCACTGCAGCAGCTTGTATCATGTCTACAGTAGCAGGTTTTTGGATTGTTTGCAGTTTTGTGATCTTCCAATTTTGTGCCTCTCTGTAACATTTTGCTGTACGTCATTTCCACCCATCTTGCAACGCCTACTCATCTTGATTGATGTCTGAACACAGAGTACTTTGTAACACTGTCGTACAGTGGGGAAATGAGCAAACATTAATAGCTTTGAGCCAAGAAAACATCTGTTTCACGCATCACACGGCTGTCAACCATGCCGACCATGTTGCTCAAAGGATGATGGAGGAGGAGGGTGATACCACAGGGAAGAGAGAGGGATGTTAAGGGATGAACTTAGTTTTGACAGAATCCCATTTTCTCTTACCAATAAGAGGGTATTGTTTTTCAGTGGATGTGACTCGTTATTTGTGACATAAACAGCAGAAGAGACTGTGGAAAAGGCCTCTGATGTGAGGCTCCGTTCAAGAGGAAACTTCACTTGCAAGTGAGACAGGGAGACATTATATAATAGATGATGCTCATACTTTTTCAGAAGGGAAGCATCTATATCAGGTATTCTTTTCTGATGCAAAGTTCAATAACCCATCTCATGAAAGTGGGTTAAACTCGTGCCACTGCTCTTTTTTTTCTTTTTCAGTTTAAAATCTACAAACCTTACTAAGTCAAACCAATTAGGATCATTTTCCAATGCGTAAAGTAACATCAGGCTGTACATCCCCATATTTCTGGACTTCATATATTTTAAGTACATTTTAACTGTATTGTTCTTTGTGCAACTGTGTTGCCACAGTTTTATTCAGTCAGTGACAGTTATTCATACCTGGCTCAATCCACTTCATGACGTCAGGAAAAGTAACGGTGCATGTTTGGTGTTTCTGATCTGTGCACCACTCCAACTGCTGTGTCAGTAGGATTGCTGATGTGTTTGATCATGTCCAAAAACCTGCTTACACATTTGTTTCTCTATAGGATGTATAATTCTGACATATTTAAACACGAGCAGCATTGTTTAGATTGTATTCAAGTAGTTCTGTAAGTAACTAGTTGCTAAGCATTTATTTTTATGATAAAGCTGCCTACAAACAAATCTCAAACATATCTTTTATAGCTGCCAATTCCTCTTAAAAGGAAAGAATGTTAAGCAGTAAAGCTGAAACCTATTGTTACAAGTTCTGTACATACAAGGGTTGATTAGCGAAGGGTGATATTAAGAACTAAGAACTGACACAAGGTCAAAATATATGCTACCATTAGGTAGAAATTACGTATAATAATATTAAAATGTTATCAAAGTACTTAAATACAGTATACCAGCAAAGGTTTAACTTGAATACACTTGAACGTCAAGGTAAATTTTAAAGTATCTTACATTTTCTTAACCTCACTAACTCATGTAAGAGCAGCCACTGGCACACGTACAAGTGATAGAAAAGGCCCCATGAGCTGGTGTCAGAGCGATGACAGCCTGTGTCTACAAAGGAAGAGAAAACTTCAGCTGAGCCCAGACGACCAGTCAGAGCTGCCAGCGGAGGCATTAGCATGGCGCTCAGACAAGACGACATCTGCTGCCTCAGCATGAGACCTGTCAACCTGCTTTGAGTGTAAATGTGTCATGATTGCAAAAGTAGCAACGACGGGCAATGGCTACCTCTAATGACAGCAAATGGGGCAGGGGTCAGGAAATATGCAAACTAATGTCACTGATAAACTAAACAGGACAAACACTCAGTTGAAGTGCCAACATTTTAAATAAATTATTGAGGATTTACTGTCTTCCCTTGTCCTACGTAATCATAAAGTGAAAATCTCTAGAAAGAGAAGTATCAGTGGGACAGAATGGGAAATGTTATGACTTGGCTTTAAACATTTTCACGTGCATTTTACTACTTTTAATGACCAGACAGTCAGTTAATAGAGAAACTATTCATCAGATTAATCAATAAGTCATTAGTTGCATCCCTGTACTGTATGTTTACTGTTTAGATGGATAAGTAAAACCCTCTGGTTTAATATATTATGGCCCAGATTCTAGGAAGGAACAAAATTCACCACAAAACCACTGAAATACTGAAAAACGTCCTCTAATGTCAGTCATTTAATCAGCAGCTAATATCTTATGACTGCACAAATAAAAATTGGATTCAGAACACAATAAGTCTCTTGTTTTCATCATTATAATAAATAAAACAATTCTGTGATCTTTAAAGTAACAACTGGTTTTACTATACAATACAAACCCCAAAAATATAAAACAAAGAAACCTGCAAATGCAGAGCAAAAACAAAACACCCGAAATATGAAAATAATATAGCAATAAGATTCCTTTATAGATTTATTCCAAAAATACCCTTGTTTAATTAATGAACCTTATGAACCTTTCTATTTTAGCCCAGTTTCAGCTTCGTCCCTGAACAAGTCTGACCTACTTTCAAGTGCTGTTCCCAATACAGCTTTAGCCTGCTGTCTATTTCATTCAGCTAGGGCTGAAAGTGGATAACGCCACTGGAGAGCAGTCATTAGGGCCCGAGCATGCTTGTTAAGGCATACCTCTCCTGGTCCCAGAATGAAAGGTTTGTGAGCAAATGTGTGAGGGGACGGGGCAGGTGAAGCTTGTAGTGTTAAGAACATCAGACTTCCTGGTGTAATGTGTGTATATATAGTGACACATACTCACACCAGGCCATAAACAGTCACAACCAAAACCTTGTGTCACCACAGCCCACAGCAGGAAATGGCTAAGCTGTTTGTGTACACTGAAATGCATGCACAGATAAATGAACTAAATTAAGACAGCGACACTGTATACTCTGCAACATCACATCAGTCCTGCAGCCTCCTAAGGATCATGTGTACATTACATATGTGAACATAAACATAATCTCTGGCTGCACGGACAGCAGGGTCTACTGACTGAATGAGTTAAGGTCTGAAATAAGTGAGGCCACAAAGCAATCTGGTTTCCTTTTGGTTTCCATCATGTTAGTAAAAACAGAAACCATTCTGATTGATAATGGTTTGCTGGATCAGTAAAAATGTACATTTAAAAGAAACATTTAGTTTAACCCACTGATATCCAAACAGCTTCTTTGCATGAGAAGCATGTATCATGTAAAATAAAGTAGATGTAATGAATCTTCGTTTGAGGCGGTGAAATATTACTTCTGCTTTGAAAGGTTTATACTTCATGTACTCTGAACTAGGCTGTACTGCATAGGCACAGCGGCACACTGCTGTAGCTGAGTCTCTAAACCTCAAGTCTGAGCCCAGCCTCGAGCCCCCAGAGTTCAAGTCCACGAAAAGACCAAGACACCAAATAGTCCGGACCAGAGTGGTGGACTGTCCAAATGACAAAGCTGATGTGGCTAAAAATAAGGTGGGAATGTGACATGAGTTAAAAACAAGTTCAAGCCAAGTCAAACAAACAAACAAGCAAAAGCACTAAGAAGCCATGAAAATTCTAGAGATAATAAACATAATGCACAGTGGTAAACTTGTACTAGTGTAGCTGGGATATGGAGGGATCAGCGAAGCACTTGTTATGGATCCTAGCAGGCTGGACCACTGACAAGCATTTAACACTGACACTTCACTGGTATTTAAGGACAACCACGACAAGCATTTAACACTTCACTGGTATTTAAGGACAACCACACTGTAAAGAGTTGTGGAACAAATACAAATACATTTTAGCCAAGTGTAACACAAGCAACCCTGACCAGCTGAACCATATAGTAAGTAAACACTTTCAGACTAAAGGTTTTAAACCATACACTAAGTATTTTAAGCACTAACTTGCTCCTCAGCTCTTGGCTTAATTAGGCCCACGTGTATAACTAGATTAGAGCATTTCCAAGGGGTAGCAATGACTTCATATGGCATCAGTATGTCTGAGTCTACTTACTTGAGTGCAAGAATCAGCCTAAACATTTCTACATTTAAAAATATTCACCTTACACACTTTAACAAGTTCAAAAACCTACTGTTGTGCTGGATTCAGTAAACAAATGTGGCCTGATGGTGTGGAAAATGATGATTAAAAAAATGTAACTACAAGCTTATAGTGTATTATAGTGGTGTGACTATGCCCATAAAACTCAATATTACATAATAATGCAGACATAACATGAGATAAATATGATTCCAAACATAGAATGACACCTGGAAGAACAATGATATTAGTTATGCTGAACGCACAAAAAAGTGTGCAAGGCATTCTGAGATAAAGTTTCCTAAAAGGACAGATTCATAATGCTCCCATTTGTCTGCAGCAACTTGTGAAACCTTAAAAGGGCTGAAAACAGTTCCCTCTTTCCTTCTTCTCTGGCCCCTCACTTCAGGATGCAGCCATACTTTGGACCCACAACCTCCTGGCCAACAGGAAACGATCAGAGAGCAAGCTGACGCTGGCCTATAGCCCACTAGTAACGTGGACAGTGCTGCCACCTTCTGATGCAATCAGCTTTACTAAAGGTAACAGCAGAACTGTATGGAGCCGACCCGGCCCCCTATGAGGGGACAACTATTTCTGATGTTAAACATGTTAATACAGTCTGTATTAAAGCCACACCTGCTACAGAATATCACTATAGGTGCAGTTGTAGTTCTATGCTTGTTCACATTTTTTGTAACACTTCAAACCTGTTTTTTTCTGTATAGTGAACATATTTGTTTTATTTTCTGTTCTTTTCAGACATTTAAGTGATATGTTTCCCGCTTGATTTCAAAGTTTGTTATTGTGCAACGTTGACATTTGACGGGGTCAGCCTGGAAAGAAAAGGGCAGAAGGAAGTATACAGAGGATCATTGGCCAGTGTTTATTTGACCAGTACTTGACCTGAAAATTGTCCTTTTAAAACAAGACTTTCTGGTCAGGCATCGGGGAAGGTGGGTAGTCCTTAAAAAAAAAAACTAGGAGGCCTCTGCACACCTGAATGTGAGCCAGGTGCACTGGTGGAGAGGTCAGAGAGGCTGAAACATAATAAATTGTTTTGCCTAAGTGTGGGAGCTTTTTGTGCAGTATTAAAATGATTTAAAAAATTCTGCAACACGGCTTTTGTTCACTTATTTCTGACCTATAAACCATAATGTCCTTGTGTGTGTGAAATACTGCATCTCTAAACCAATCTGAGAAAGGAATGTTAGACTTTGGTCACAGCACTTGCAGCTCAATGCAGCCTAACTAACAGGACTATAAACAGTATATATATCAAGAAGTTGCATGGTTTGATTTGTTTTTGTTCAACTGAGTGACATTAATTTCATGGTAATTGTATTAATTTCAGTATATCCAAGATACAACCCTAGAATCCATAATGTCTCCACAATGACTCTGTTCTGAACAGACTGACTTTATCAACCAAGACAGGTGAAACTAAAAATTTATGATTTATTACAGTAATGAAAATAACACTGTTTAGACAACTTTAACATGTTAAGCACTTATGTTATAATGGCACTTTTTCATTATACATTTCTATTTTGTACCATTTCTTTTAGACAAATATTAATATTCTTACAATACAAATGCTTTTTCATGAAATGAATAGACAATCAAAAAAAAAAACACTTAAAAAGCTATTAGCAAAACTTGATTTATTTTATAGTGAGCATGGTTTAAATTATGTACAATTAATAAAGCATATTGTGCAATGGATTTCACTACAAGAGAACAGGCTCATTGTCTAAATGTCATTGTAGATGTGAGGCTGCATTAGAGGATGTCCACACGTGCAAAAGACTGGTCTGTGCCCAGAATGTTCTCCACAAACACCTCATACTTGCCAGCGTCAGACAACTTTGCATGTTTGATGGTCAGGATTGTGTTAGTGTCTCCAACATCAAAGAATAACCTGAAAGACAATTGCAGCACTTTTCTTAGCATCCTTTGTAATTTAGGCTCTCCTGAAAATCATCTTAGAATCAGTTAAGACTGTGTGATGACATATTAAACAGTTAGCTGTAGATTTCAGTATTGAATCATTTTACAGTTTTTGTCCCCAAAATACACTTCTACATGTTCACACATCCTGAAAAAGATCCAAAAGAATACATTCAGCCTGATTGAACCTAAGAGAGCCTACCTGGCATCTTCTTCAATGTCAACATTCAGCCTGATTGAACCTAAGAAAGCCTACCTGGCATCTTCTTCAATGTCATCTCCATCTTTGAGCCAGGCAACATCTGGAGGAGGTTCTCCACTTATTTCAGCCTTAAGCACCACTGTTGTCCCTCTTTTGGCCTTGATGTTGTCTGGGCCTTTAGAAACCTTAGCGGGGACTGTGGGAGCATGATGCAAATACTCTGTCAGGCATATGACTGTATAAGATCACAAGTACTAAACAGAGTAGAAGGAAGCCTTGGCATCAGGCATCAAATGTGACTATTAGCAACTGAACCAGACCTAGACTTTCAAAACTCATAAAACTTTGAACTAACTGTTGAAACAGAGCTGAGTTACTGTAAATCATGTTTTCAAGGCAGCAGGGGAACCTATGTTTCTGAGCTGAACACGCTTGAAATGATTCACACTCAACAGCTATTTATCTTTGCTTTGGTTAAAGACCACAAACAGGAAAACAACCAACTTGGCTCTGTCCAAAGGTAACAGAGCCATATTTCCCAAAACATTTAACTATTCATTTAAGTGATTAGCATAAAATCTGATCCCACCATCTCTGACAAAACTCACTTACACACCACAATGCAAAGTGTAGCAATAACAAATGCTAGATAAAGCAAATAGTCTGTACACACCCTCCACTAAAATACAAGCTGATCCCGATGTCTGTCCAAATGGATTCTTAATGGTAACAGTGTATTTTCCCAGGTCAGCCAGAACCCCATCTCGAACCACCAGTGCCACAAAATCTGGGTCTTCAAACACATAGCGGTACTTGGGCCCATCTTTCAGCTCTTTGCCATCCTTGTACCAGACAATGAACGGATCGGGGAAAGCACTAACTCTGCACTCCAGCTTTGCAGCGCTGCCCTCAACAAGAACCACATCTTTGAGCTCCTGTAGAATCTTGGGAGGTCCTTTCTCTCGCATCTCTTTACGAGACCTAGAGAAACACAGTTAAGTACGAGTTCGCTACAATAGGTTCACTATGCCTCAAACAAACCTGATTCTACAAAGTTTCACCCAAATAAATATATATTTACATTTGTTTTTACCTCTTCTAAATGACCACATTTGAAAGCAAGATAAAAAGCCTACTGTCACAGAGAGGGACAACATGTTAAAACAGTTCAACAGGATTAACCACATGCAGTATTTTGATATCTCCTCTTAAAGCATTCATAGTGTTGTAGTCAGTTACATGCACAATGAATGTACAGTAAAAAAAAGATGTTGGGACAGAGGATTTCTGACACTCGTCAGTGATCCAACCAGCAGTTGGTTTCAAACCTACTCACTCTAAACAACCGCATGCTTTCAACTGTGCTCAAAGGCCAATTGAATGTCAGTGATAGCAACAAATATTCTGGAGATTCTGGAGATTCTGATACCTGTGGCCACGATATGAAGCCTGGATTCGGATAGCAGCCTCCTGGACCTGAGGATCATTGATGTTGAGAAGGCACCCAGGAGGGGGTGCAGCCTTCGCTCTGGACATCTGCCGAGTCAGAGCTGGTTAGCACTCAGAAACAACTAGGGAAAAGCTGCTTTACCATTCAATTTACTGTGCCCACTGTGGAATTACTGGTAGGAGGAGGTAACCTTAACAAACCTTTATTTTCTAGTCCAACTTACTCACATTTCTTACCTTGGAGATCCTCTTGAAGAGTCACTCAGAGTCAGCAAATATAAAAGGCTCTCTGCTTTTATATCCAGCTGACAGGAGGAGCTTTGCAGGTCCTCGAGGATCAAGGCGAATGAATCATCACCCAGACGTTTCTTCTCCTTCTTTGGGTATTAGGTAATACATGACCAGACTGACTGAACAACAGATGTTTACAGAAATATTTTCCCTTCCTTATATAGCATTCATATCAAAGACCCCTTGAGAACCCTTGGAGCAGTTAATAGTTTTGTTAGCGGGTGTTTAAATAGTAAAGTGGAGCATGTTGAAATGCGAGTCATCCCTGGTGAAAAGCAACACATAATTGTTGATCTTCAGGGTCATGCGGAGGGAGTGGCATTACCCTGAGCTCGGCACAGTCCATATACAGCATCTCTTTAAAACTATACAAATTCAGTAATAGTTCATGGTAAAGTTATTAAAAAAGTTCTCTGCTCCCACACTCTTTACACCCACTTTTCATCCTCTGAGGAAAACCAACTGCTATACTGCATTCATACGTTTGTCACATTTCCTTTATTAATAGCTGTCATGCCTTTTCCATGCCAGATTCAGAAATGTCACAAAAGAAAAAGCAGAAGCTGTAACAAATACAATCACTCGATAAGTAAACAAATTGCAGAACACACACAAAGCAGTCACATTCATATAATCTAAATAAAGAAGTAATCAGTCAGTTCAACTATTTTCCCTGTGGGTCTAATATCCAGTACAGGGCACTGCAACACATTCCACAAAATACAGCAAAAGATTTGATTACAAAATGCCTAGCGTTCAGCATCCTTTTCAAAACCCTGTTGTCTGCTCACAAACAGCTGTCATTTGATGTTATATCATTAAATTCATATATTGCACAGACATTTAGAATTGTATGCAACATTGCATTCTCATGCTGATCTTGCATGTTTTCATCCAGGTTTAAATCAATTTAACCTCCACCCTGCATAGGAAAATGACTGAGCCTAAAAGAAAGAACTGCAGAAAAAGAGCAGTAGTTAACTAGCAGTCATGTTAGAGTATATCGAACTAGTAAAGTCATTTCATAGTAGTACCAAATACCTCTGTGTGATGCAGCTTTACCAAAAAAACAATATCTGCATCTGCTTGTGAACCTAATCTATCACAGAAATGACACTTTAAGTTTAAGTGTTAAGTGTGCAAATCTGTTCTGGTGTGTGAAAGCAAAATGATCAAAAGTCTGACATTTGTGCAAATGTTTCACATGCAAACTGAATTTGCCCTCACAAGGCAAAGCAATACAAAAGAATCAATACAACATAGCCATTCAGTTACCATAAAGTAAGGAGGACAGATCAAATGGTCAACAAATCATTGATTTTTGATCAACTTAATCTCATAGCCAGTGTACTGGAAGAGGCTCTTAAATATGCCTGAAGAGAGACCGCAAGCTCATATCGAAACGTCCTCAGTCAGGTTTACTGAGCTGCTCAGCGTGTGAACATACAGTTACAAGATTTATTAGAACAAAGATATTGCGGGTACTTCCAATGAAAACACCTCCACCCAAAAGGTGCTCCATGCAAGTCTTTCCATGCAAGTCTTTCCTCTGAGGTGAGACTTAACAGTCTATTTGGAAACAGACTAATGTAAACAAAATAAAATTGGTTATTAATTTCAGTAAGCAGCTTGCACATGGCTTTTAAACATCTGTGTGCAACTGAGTTATATTCTACTTTACTCCAGCCAAGGGACAAGAGTCAGTATGTGCCCAGTTCATTAATGTTATCTAAGGAGAGGGCAAGTCATGTCTTTTATGGGACTAAACCAGAAGGAAGAGGTTAAATTTATGATTTGCCCATTTTTAAATTTTTTTGTTTACATGTACGTAACTCCTCATTTCCATGTACATGTCTGGATGATGAACAAGGACCTGGTTTTTGTTCATGTTATCTATGTAGAGGTACAGTCCATGCCTGAGTATATCTTGCAGAGAATGGTGAGTAAAAGGTAATATTTCTTATTTACAAATTAATTCTTATTTTCCCTAAAGTTGTACAGTGTTTCAGATTTAACATTTTTGATCACTTGTAAGCCTGTTGGGCTGGAAAAAGTGTCAGGACGTGCATGAAACTTAAAGGACCAAATCACTTACATAACATTTAATGCTAATTCTAACCATTTTATGAAATTGCCTTACTTCATTTATAAAAAGTACAAACTGTAATTAGTGAAAGCCAAATAAAACAGTAGCTGTTAGTAAGTGAAAGTTACAGCTAAAACAACAACTAATACTGTTAGAGTTTTCAGGCTAGGAAGGATCCAAAATGCAGACACGGTCTGGAGTCTAGTGTTTATTTAGTTTAATATAACTAAAGAGGGACAAAGGGGCAAGAAAAACAACTAGGTGCTCAACCTGACCAGGCTTCACTCCACAGGTACAGAAAACTAAAATCTGAAAACAGAACGGTCAGGGAGCCAAAACTGAATTTCTAAGACAGGTGAAACAAAAACAAAGAAGAGTACATAGGCGAGACAAGGGTAAAGTCCAAACTTATAAGTGCCCAACAGAAAAACATGAGTCAAGGAAACTAACCAGATGATCAGGTACAGAACACAGGAGACAGGAGCTGGGTTCAGACAATAGGGTAAGCAAACTGGCAGGGTGTGGTGAACAGCGATAGCAAGCTGAGAGACGGACGACGAGGCAACAAGGCATGGAGAACAGATGAGCCAGGAACCAGAAGGGAGAAGTATATATAGACAGGAGACCAGGGGCTAACGGGCAGCAGGTGGAAGCAATGAGCAGTGTGCTGGGGTGAAGCTGGGGCAAGTGAGGTGACAAAAGACCAGGAAATGAAACCAAAATAAAAGCACCAAACAGGAAGAAAGATAGCAAACCATAACAAATACACACAGAAAGATCTTAATCAACATCCCTTTTCAATGAATTGTAGAGGCTATTTTTATACTGACTACTCCTATTAAGGGCACTTGAAGGCACCCCAGTATCACTAGTGGGCTTTAAAGTTATTGAATTATCTGAATAATCTAATATTTAATGGGGGTCTCATATTTCAGGCAGCATATACTGTAAACTGCCCAGCTGAGTCAGCAAACTTGTAAACCTTATTTTAATAAACTCAACAGAAGGGTGTGGATACTTCTGCACTGCTAATCAGACTGGGGGCTTTACACTGGGCTGAGTGGAAGAGTTTAGTTTGAGCAGAAGCCAGTAAGCTGGCTGTTAGCTTATTTGTGGTAAAGGAACTAGTGTCTGCCAAGTGCCAACACGGTGCCCGGCGTGGAGCCATGTCTGCAGTCCATACCATCACTTAGAGCAAAGATGATCCTCCCCAAAAACTACTTTTGAGAATGATTACTGTCCTATTTAACATCAGAAACATAAGGAGGAAAATTTGTAATAGCCCTTGTAGAGAATCCACCAAAGTATCTTCTGGACTCAGTGTATGCGTTTAAGACTTTATAAAACACAAACAAAATCCTTTCTGGAGCTGCTACAATCTTGACAATTATTTGAGGTTCTGTATAGACTAACTCAGGTAGCACAAATTATTCTGCCTTCATTACACAAACAGATTAAGTTAAAGGGGAGCAATATTTAGCATCTTAGAATTAGAGATCATAGAATGGCTTGGCTGCTCAGGAAGCATTTGAATATGAAATTACGATAAACTGAGAGAGCAGAGGTGTTACTATGGTCAGCGAATGACATTTTTAACATTAAAATGCTGTAACAGCAATTTCAGGCCTTTCATAGTGGGTTCCTCCAATAATGTGTGTCCCCTCTAAACAATGATCCTAAGAAAAGAAGTCTTTTATCCAAAACGTATGCAAACTTACAAACTCAATGTTCTACCTTGAAGACAACATCCTGCCTTGTATGAACAACGTGCACACTATAAAAAAAAGCAGTCAGGCTCTGGTAACTTTGTGGGAGTTCCCCCTGTATGTGAAATCATTCTTTTTGATTCTCAGTAAAGAAAATGAACTGATGTCTCTGTAGATCACAGCCACTGCTGGTTTCATGGGTGTTTTTATTCTTTTGACCAAGTTTAGCAACTCAGACCTGAGGGGACCACCTAACCTCAGCGACCAAAGTCTTGCCTCACTCTGCGGATGTTCCCCCCACGCAGTCACGTCAAGAGATCTTTGAAAGCCTCTTTTCACTGGCTGACTGGTATGGTGGGTGAGGTTGGCACATTTGGTGTGGCAGGGCTGGTGGGGGTTTGCGGCGAGCTCTGGTAGGACCGCAGAAGAACTTTGTGCTTGGTGGCCACCGCCTCTCGCCTGCGCTGCTGGTCAGCCAAGAATTCCTTGAGACAGGTGGTTGTAAAGGTGAGAGTCTGCCTACGAAGGCGCATCAAGTAGGCATCCTGAAGCCAGGAGTTATTGAAACAGTCCTTAATAGATGGACGGGCCCTGTTCAGGATGACAGCAAGCATCCAAATAATCAAATATTTTAGAAATATTTTTAAAATTGGGGCATACACAGAATTTTGAGTTAAAGGATTGATTTGTGTCTCAGTCATATGTGCAATAATAAATGTTAATTTACAGAAATCCTTTTGGAATTACAGCTTACCAAGGGTAGCTACACAGGATCTTTTTAAGAAACAGAGAGGCACTTTGGGACACATTCTGGTAGAGTTTAGACAGGTCAAACTTTGCTGCCTGGATCCTGGCTGCAGTCTCCTGAGGATCATTTCGCAAGAAAGGTGACCTGCCACTCAACCTGGAAAATCAAGGAGAAGTTTTGACATTCAGAAAACATATCAACAAGGCACAATAAAATCTAAGGTGGTTCAGTTTAGCTGTGAATATGTGCATGAAAACCAGAATATTAATATTTATAGACAACAGCAGCAAGATGTGAAATTATTGCAAATGCAGCAGATACTTCCTTAATCATAAGCCCATTTCACCTATTGCATTTCTATTTAAAGAGGACCTACTGAGTGGAAGCTGTGAAAGCAGAACTCACATGATGAAAGTCAGTACACCCACACTCCAGATGTCAGCTGGAGGGCCCACCACATCCCCTTTCAACATCTCTGGAGCTGTTAGAAGACACAGAAAAGGAACAGGCTTAATCATTTTACAAAAAAAAAAACTTTAATTGCAACTACATATAATCTCTGTACTACAGAAACTACAGTACTACTACTTCTAATGCTGTACTGTATATGTGATTAACCTATAGTGTTTGTGCAGCTTTATAAAATGTGCAAATGCATCATTTTTTTTCATTGTTTCATAGCCAGTGCACGCCCACTGACAAAACAGTTACATAAACCTCCTTGAGAACAGAAAATCAGTACTAGCAGGAAAAAAAATAATAATAATATCTAAATCAACAGAGTAAAATTTTTATTTTTAACTTTTAACTTTGAATTTAATAAATTACCACATTTAAGATTACATAATTCATACCTATTAGTTCCAAAGGTTTTCTATGTCTGCTGTGCAAATTACTTCTACTGTTGTCATAGTTAAAGTGCCTTACTTTAGCATAATTAATTATTTTGAACATCCACTGAACATAATTCTATTCAGTGATTTCTTGTAAAATGCACCTTACTATTGAAAGGAAGTGCAACACTTACTTAAAGTTAGGGACATTCAGTTTTCTGAGGGACATTGTGACACTTTGGAATATTTGTATTATATTTGTGGCTGTTTAAATTAGCACCTGTGTGTAATAATTGCTTTGACAGAACAAATTAAGTTAGCCACAAACTCTTAGAAGTAAATATTGATCTAGATGAGACTCACTTGAAAAAAAATTAAGTAAATAAGTGACAATCTAAATGATCAGTACAGAACTGTACTGATCTGAGACCTGTTTTTCCCCTTTGGCCACTTTGGTGCAGAGAAACAAGCATTTACCTATCACCCTAAAAGGTAGATATGACTAATGTGTTGGCAAACTTTTAGCAACATTAGCAACAATGAGAACAGTGAAAGTGAATAAGCACAGTAAAGTTGCAGGACACAAAACCAAAACAATAGCTGAAAGATGCTAAAGAGCTCAGTAGGGCTGAGGGATTTTGTAGAGTCCAGTGAGACATTTCCTCCTGGGTTTGTTACTATGTGTCCCCTTTCTCATAACACAGTCATTTGATCAACTCTTAACATAAAGATACTGATTAAAGCAGCTTTTATTTTAGATTCCCAGTGGTCTATAAAAGATACAGCTCTTACACATGTACTCCAGCGTTCCAATCGGAGGGCTGAACTGCTTGAGGAAGAGAGGGTTGTAAGTCTGAGCACTGCCAAAGTCTATAATCTTGATGACATTCATGTAGGTGACAATGATGTTCTCTGGCTTGATGTCTAGGTGAAGGATCCGTCGGGTATGGAGGTAGTCCAGACCCTGGAGGATCTGCACAATATAGGTCACCACATCATCCTCAGAATAACGGAACCTGAGAGAAAACAGAAAAAGCATGATAAAGGACTCCAGGAAGAATATTTTAAGGCAGGTACTCATAGATAATAGAATCAACCCTCTGAGACAAGCAACCGATTTGGTGTGTTTGTCTTCACCTGTCTATGAGGCTGTAGAGCAGCTCCTTTCCACTGCAGTACTCAGAGATGAGCACGAGGTAACGCGGTGTGACATATGCTTCATGCAAAGCCATAATCCTGTCATGATGAAGGGACTTGAGGATATCGTATTCCTGCAGCACCAGCTGCTTGCTGTCTGCCTCATAGGGAACAATCTTAGCCAAAAAGAGGTTGCCTGTGGCATTCTCCCGGCACTCACGTATCACACCAAAACGACCCCTGTGTGATAAGGAAATGCTATAAATCCAGCAGGCAAACAAACAGATCTGAAAAATGCTATGTTTATGTATAGCTACTAATCCCCCTTTTTTTTGTGTGGTCAAAAGAAGAAAAGATAACACAAGTATTTAGGTGTTTAATTGAAGTGTTAATCTTTAATTTCATTAAATACTCAAACTTTAATACTTAGTGGTACATCATTTTAACAAGTGTTATTCTTCAGAATGCAGAAGAATTTAGCAATTTATTTTCATTGATCCAGCCATTACCTTGCTTTCTCGTCCATGAATGTGTAAGGTTTCTGTGGAACTCCCTGGCGCAGAGATCCCTCCACAGGCTTGCCCAGTGGTGTCCTGCGTCCCGAAGGTGTGACCCGTCCAGATGGGGTGGCCCGTCCAGATGGGGTGGCCCGTCCAGATGGGATGACCCATCCAGATGGTGTACTCCTGCTGTCTCCCCCTTGCAGAATAGGTGTCAAACTCTGTACCACCACCACAGGCGGTGAGATGGTCACAGGTGTGACTGAGAGGGAGCTGGTTGCCGGTGTGGGACTACACTGAGAAGGTGGAGTGACTCTAGCAGTTGCAGCTGGCACGTACATTGGCACAGATGAAATTGGTTTCCCAATGACCGTCACAGGAGGAGGTACAGGAGAAGGGGGTTTGGTGGTCATGGGGAGGAATGCATTTATAGGGCTCCGAGGTTTGGGTGGGACAACAGGGGGGGTCAGCTTGGTTTGGGGCTTGCTCACACTGATACTAAGCGTTGTCTTGGCTTTGGCTGGTGTGGTTTGGACAGTTGTGGTGTTCAGAACAGGAGCTTGCTCAGATGAGACTGTATTAATGGGGGGAGTAACAGCAGGATGGCTAGCCTCAACCTGAACAATGGGTTTGACAGTTACTGGAGAAGTAGATTTAGCCACAGGTGGAGCGGGAGGTGAGGAAGAAGGAGGGACAGGCTGGGCAAGGGGCACTGTAGTGGATTTACTTGGAGCTGGTTTAATGGGAGGCACTTTCATGGATGACATCATCACCACAGGAGGAGGAGGAGTCACAGGGACAGTCTTCACCACCACAGTAGCATTTGATTTATCTGGTTCTAATAAAAGAAAGAAGAAGGAGAATATGGCTCAAAAACTTGATTTGATACTGTATATAAAGAGAACAATACATTAAAGACATGGCTCTACTCTTCAGACCTGACACATTGTTGAAGAACTTTGAATAATTTGTAATGTACAGTATGTTGTCCCAGACTAAAAACATGTTATCACCATATACAGTACATACACATAGCACCATACAGTATACCGAGTCAGGTAGAACAATTAAAGCTTTAATCCTGTCAGTATGTGTATGGTACATTTCCAAGGAGGTGAATCAATAAAGGGAGTACACAGAAAATGCATTTTTTGTCTATTTGAATGCCTCATCCAAAATAATTTTCGATTTTCTGTCAGATAATACCTACCTGAAGCATCCAGGCTCACTACATCTGAGAGGTTGCTGTAAGGGCCTTGGCCAGCTTTGTTCACACATGCCACCCTGAACCTCAAGGAGCCCCTTGTTGGCAGATCAGTTACATTGTAATAACAGTCTGCCACCCCTGTTGCCACCATCAGCCAGCTGGTCTCACCTGGTAAGCAGAAAAAAAAAATACTGCAAGGCCTAGATCTTACTATGTGAAGTGCCTTGAGATGAATTTTGTTGTGATTTGTTGTTATACAAGTAAAATTGAACTTAAGTGAATGGGTGATGTTATTTACATAAAAACAATTTGATAATGAACTAGTTTGATGAGATAAGGCATGTTGCATAGTGAAACACATATACTGTATATCTGCAGTATATAAATGATTTGGGGAAAAAAGTTATTTTCCTGTTGCTTCAGGGCAAACTCTAAATACAATGGACAAGTGAAAAGAGCCCACATTATTTTTGGGTTTATGTAACCACTTCAAAACATACAGTAACATATAATAATCCTAATCTGGACAACTGTGACATCTGATGAACGACATTTAAAAATGGCAATGAAACATTTTTATCATTGCTTTTGAACACTTACCCTCTGCTCTCCTCTCCAGAGAGTATGTGCACGGGGCCATAGTGTCTGAGGGTCTCCACACTACCAAGGCTGTGTTGTTGTACCTCTGAGGAATCTCAGGGGTCCCAGGACGATTAGGCAGGCCTGAAACAAATACAAACAAATACAGGGGTGTTAATAAAATTGACTATATTTATTCATATATAGTATAGTACTACCTCAAAGACTGACATAAAAGATAGGTATGTCTCAGGTCTTACGAGCAAGAGATATTGTACAAGAGCTGGACACAGAAGCCAAGGGGTTTGTAGCCACACATTCATAAACTCCTGCATCATTTTTGGTTGTCTGCATGATCATTAGCAGCTGCCGGCCATCAGGACAGGCAATTATGTTCATCCTGGCATCAATCTCCAGGGGCTTCTTATCTGAAGAGCATAAAGTGATTGAAAGGGGTCTTTTAGTAAGAAATATAATGATGAAAATTAAAATTGACATTACATATTATAAATGATCTTGATGAAGACTGTTAACTCTTTTTAAAAACAGTTGAGCTTCAAAGACACTTCATAAGAAATGAATAAACATTGTTCAGAAGTTAGTTAGACATACAAGTATTTGTTCAAGGGGAATTTGCTGGGGTTTTTCAATGTATAACACTGTGAGGTCTAGACCTAATTATGTAAAGTGCCCTGAGATGATTGTTGTTGTGAGTTGGCACTATGCAAATAAAATTGAATTGAACTGAATATAACTATTGGTTTAAACTGTTTTAGATTAACAAAGAATCTCAATAGTTTTTCCTATCTTGCACTATTTATGTCCACTGATGGCAACCTCTGTTGTAAGGGCACCATACTGTATGTTAGGATGTACTGAGATGCAGTGTTGGCCATCATTAGTTTCTGCACTCATGGACTCAAGAATAATTAAGATAATCATCATCATTATAATTAGCATGTGAAGTGAGACTGACCATCCATCTGTGAGACTATTAGTTAGGTAATTCTGCCATGATTTCCTTATGCGTAATTCCCTACCTTTCATCCAGGTGATGTGTGGGTGGGGGCTGCCTGCTGGTAGACAGCTAAGAGTGACTGGATCCCCCTCCAGAAGGACATGATCTCTCAGCTTGATATGGAATACTGGAGGAAAATCTGATAGTCAAAGACATTACACCAATTAAATCACATTCATACTGTACATACCATCTGTGGAACCATGGTACAACTTCTGGGCGAGTCCAGTTAAGAATCTCTACATGTGTTTCTACTTCTCCCAGGTATAAGACAAACAAAGCTATCAAATATAAAATGTATGAAGCAATTTTTAACTAAAGTGTTTACTGATATTGATATATAATCTATGTGTAATGGTTTGGTATACTGTACAGCTTGAAGCAACCGCATGTTGACAACAAGAGCAACAGAGCCAGGCCCGATGTTTGCCCCCATTTCCAGTCTTTCTGCCAAGATAAGCTAAACATCTACTGGCTATAATCCAGAGCAATCACAGCCTCTTGATGTACAGGCTTGTGTGAATTACCAGAAGCCAGTTTGGAGTACTGGTGTGAACGTAAGGAACTACTTTCTCTGGCGATGGCTGTTGGTATGTCAGGCTGTGATACAGTCTTGTCTCGTTTTCCTCTCGTCAGGCCCCACCGATCCCAGCGGGATCTGCGTTCAACCTCCACACCTGAACAAGAAAAAAAAATTCAGCTCCATAAATAAATCATCATGCATTTAAAAAAGTGCAAATAATACTACTCAAATCAAAATGTGGAGTAACATTTCCAATAGTATGAAGTTACTGTGCCTACCCTTTGATAAATCTGACTTTAGGCTGGACATAGAGTCTAGAGACTCTGTTGAGGTACCATTCGTGGCCTGAGATGCCAATTGGTTCTGAGGAACATGAGCAACCTTCATAGCACGGTTCTCTGATGTGGAACGATGAAGTATGGAAAGAATGGGATTTCTCTTTTGCTCTTTCTGTTCTGATACTCTCCTTTCCTCTGAATAGCTGCGAATTCTGGTGGAGATCTCAGCCACTGTTGATTCAATTTTCCTTCGCATTGCCAAGACTGGTGATTCATTAGGTTTCTTGAGCTCCTTTTCCTTTTGTTCCACTAAGGTGTCACCATCACCACCCATGGGCATCATCTCTACTTCCTTCTTTTCCTGTGATCCTCTTCGGCCAAGAGTCCAAGAAAGCTTTCGTCTTGAAGGAACTGTGTCTTCTTCTTTGGTCATTTCGTCCTTGCGTTCAGTTGATGGAGTTCTCCTCAGCCGTAAGGAGAGCCTTCTCATAAAGCCTTGGTCCTTTTGAGCTTCACGAAGATCCTGGACTGACTTTGACTTCTCTTCAAGTCTCCTTTGTGCTAATTCCAATGGTGCACCAATTGGCCCAGGTCTGTATATCTCTTCACCTGCCTCTGGGGAGTCTGGCAAAGTTAGCTGTGATTTGTCCTCATTCTTGGACCGAGATAAAAACCTTAGACTTCTCGTGAGAGAAGATTCACGTTTTTTGAAGCGGGCCTCAAAGACTTCTTCAGAGGTAAGGTCCTCTAAGTCAAGTCCTGCCAAAAGATCTTGTTGGGATAAGGAATGTGGGGCAGTCTTTGGTGGACTGGGCTCTTTTGTTATCATTTCTGGTGATGCTACCCTAGAGTATACAGCAGGGTGCTCAGTAGTTGACATAATGGCTGGACCTGGTAACGTAGAGGATATAGTGGCAGGTATTGTGCTGGTAGGTACAAATGTTTTGGTTGATACTGAGGGTAACGAGGTGGCTGAAACTACAACAGGTGGGCCTAAAGGTGGGTCATTGAGAGGCTGAAGTGAAGGGACCATAATGGTCTGCATAATACTGGCATATGCTGAGGTCCTTCCATCAGGAAGAACAACTTGAGCAGGAAGTGAGGGTGTTACATAAGTTGTCATGACTTTTGGCAGAGAAAGGGAACATTCTTGTGTTGGTCTCACCATGACTGAGCTTGTGGTTATCATCATTTCCGAAGATTTTTCAGGCATATTTACCTCCTCATCCACCATTTCTACAGCAACTTCATTTGGTTCAGCAATACTAATAGTTCTTTTCTCTTCTTCTTTAATAATCTCTTCTTCTTCTTCTTGGTCTTTTTCTCCTTTTTCTTCCTCTTCCATTTTCTCTTCTAGATTAGAGCTTTGGACCACAAAAGAAGGTGTATAATCTGATTCAATTGTTGGTTCTTCTGATATGCTCATGTCTTTCTCTGAGAAGCCACTTGTGCTTGATCTTTCATCAAAATTACTATCTGTAGTCAGCCCATCCATCTTTTCATTTATAGCCTCATCTGGCTTTATCTCTTTCTCCATAAATGATTCCTCACTTTCTGTTTTCGTGGGGCTCTCCTGCACAACAGACTCTGGAGTCAGTGGTTTTGGTGAAGGTTCCCTGGGAGTCACTGGACGGGAGTCTAGCTTGATTTGGTCAGTCAGAGCTGACATAGATATAGCCTCCTTAAGCCTTCTCTCTTCTACCTGTGCCAGAGGAATCTCTAGAGGAGCTCCAGACCGGCGATGTAAAGCTATGGGTTCTGAATCACCTTGACTGAAAGAAGCACTTTTGCGCAAAACTTTGGGTTTTGGAACATCATCCCTAGGAGAATCACTGGATGCAAATCTAATTAGTGGAGGTGGGGCCAAACGAGCAGTACGGGAGTAGCGATCTGAGGATATGGCGCATTTTTCATCTCCCATTCCTAATGTTTCCAAAAGAGGTCCTCTCAGCCCACTCATCTTGTTGTCCACAGAGCCACCACGAAGCAGTCGCTGTCTCATCAGCTCCAGTTTAAGAGCATAGTCTTCTTGACTCATTTTAGCAGTTCCTGGGCTGGCGCTCCTCCTTGGTAATTCCATAGAGACAGCTTTCTTCAAAACTCTCCTGCCATCCTCTTGATTTCCTTCTCCAGCTCCTTCTTCAGGTGTAATCCGGAGCAGCAATGCACTGTCAGCTGACCCTCCACGTCTTAGCTCCCCTCTTCGTGGCCCACCCTCTGGTTTGTCTGACTCCAGGCTTGAACCCCTTCGCAGTGGTTTTCTAGACAGCTCTGACTTTTGTGGAAATGCAGCAGGTGCTTCTTCATCTGAGGAACCCTTGTCATTGTCCTGTGATACCCTTTTCTGCTGGTGGCCTTTACCTGTGGATTCATCCCCTTCTTTATCCATTTCTTTAGAGTCACTGTCAGGAACAGGGGACTCAGACATTTTAGTTATTCCACTGTGCTTCTCTGTTTCCTGCTCATTGGTCTGGATATCAGTGAGTGATATTCTTGATCCAGAGAATTCCAAGTTAAGTGGCATCGGAATGAATGGCAGCTCATCAACGTCTTCATCAGAATCTGAGGATGATGATGGTAAAGGTGAATCCTCTTTAAGGTGCCTGGGAACTGCAATGGAGACATGGCTGGAGGAATCGTTCAGCAACACAGGTATTGATCTCATGACCATTTTTGATTTATAGCTGATTAGTGAACGCTGTGAAGGAGAAAATATGAAGAGAGAAATTTAGGAGACCTAATAATTTAATTACTCATAGGCATTCTAGTTGTAATGCAATACAGCAACCAGAACACAAGAGAAACCTAAAGGCCACTCACCTGCCATTTTCTGCGAGATACAAACTTCTTCAAGCACTCTGTACTTATGGCCTTTCCCTTGGTAGGTATCTGACAATAAATACATTTTAAATATATGTTTTAAAATTATGGATGAGACCTCAAGTAGAACTTACTGAAAAAAAAAAGAGTGTGTGAGTGATTAACACGGCAGTGCAAAGTGTCACTGTCCTGTCTTACCTTGAACCAGGGGTGTCTGAGACATTCCTGAGTATCAGGTCTCCTAAAAAAAAGTTATGGCATATTTTATTCCTCAAGAATTAGAATAAAAATCTAAATTTGAATCAGAATCAGCTTTACTGGCCAAGTTTGTTTAAACACATAAGGAATTTTAATCCAGTACAGAGGCTGTCAATATGCTTTGTATGGAAACAAACAAAAATAAAATGTAGTTCCCAATTCAAACACACTCTGGATTGTACTGTGGAACATAGGATCAGACATCCAGACTTACTGAAATGATTTGTTTTAATATTGTCAAATTTTCATTTCATTTTCCAGTGTTATAGATACTTGTAAATGTTTGCTGCAATTATAAATTATCCATTTATATAGAGAGATCTAGTAGTGTTACTCACAGTCTGTCTGCTACCAGCAGTTTTATGATGAACCCTTTAGCCTCTCGGCAAAGGTCAGCAAACATGCTCTCCTCAAAGGCGACATTATAGTTTCTGATGTTCAGTACAGAGCTGCGGTCATTCTCCCCAGCAAATGGAGAAACTCCTGTCAGACTGACAACAGAAACAAATGCATTTAATGATAAGCCCAAAGGTAGTCCCAAACAGGTAAACTTGGATAAAAATCTTAAACTGACATTCAACACAATACAACACAATTACCATTAAATAAATAATAAAAAGAATTCTACTCACCACAGATATGCAATAACCCCAACTGACCTAAACAAATAAAGAAAAGAATCAGAAAAAGGTGGTGAGTTAAGGCAAAATATACAAACAAAAAACATTTGGCCGTAAAGTACTCTACCAGATGTCTGTTGCTTTTGAGACCGGGGTTTGATTTACAATTTCTGGTGCAACAAACTCCGGTGTGCCATATTTGCAATATTGAGCCTCATCAGGTGTGATCCCCATTGCGTTGCCAAAGTCACAGATTCGGATCTGATCACCATGCGGGTCTGCCATGAGGATGTTATCAGGCTGAAGAAAGGATGAGAAAATAATATTTTCTCTGCCATAACAATATATTTGTATGATCATTTTCCAAATATAAAAACAAAAACACTCCAAGTGCACTTTTAAACATTCATTTTTAGAACCTGTGCCATAGATACAGTACTGTATGTAAGCATTTACCTTGATGTCCAGGTGAATGATGTTTAGATGATGAAGGTAATCCACTCCCTCAAGCAGCTGTCTTATACATGACCGCACCTGATTGTCCCAGAACACAAACATGCCAGTACAGCTGTTATTGATTAGATAAATAAATTACATTAATTGTATACATTTGGTAATTAAATAAAATTGATAATGATGAGTGTGAGATTTGTTGAGCATCTGAAAAACACAGGATTTACATCAGATTCCATAAGTGTAGATTTCTTTATAAATCTATCAAGCAGCTCTTCATGGCATCTTTAAAGATTAATTAAGGTTATTCTTTCAGAGACTGTGGAAGAAATACAGAATATACAATAACTGTTTGTGATGCACTTACATTGTACAGTATATGTATGTATGCATACATGTTTTATTTCACTTTTACAGTAACAAGACCATTTTTTGAAAAAGCTGTTCAGAACAACATTATGCTTATAGTTACAGTAAAAACAATATAATTTCACTAGTTGTGTACTTTGCAGATGAAACAGTGATAATACATTAAGGATACATTTCAGTGATGATGATGACTGCATTCTTCTTCTCAAAGGCGTCATGAAAGTAAAGGATTCTCTCATGGTCCAGCTTAGAAAGCAAGTTCATCTCTCTCAGAGCAGATGTCTTCTTCTTGGCCCGTGTGGAAATAAACTTTGCAGCATACTCCATTTTGCCTACCTTCTGGGTCACACGTTTCACATAAGAAAATGCACCCCTGAAGGAAAAAACATTGAAAACTTATCTATCAAAAGTAAAGTCCAGAAAAATTCAAATTATGTTAAAAGTAGCATGATTGTGAAATTCAAACAATGAAATGCAGCCTAATTTTGGAAAATTTGGAAAAAAAAACTGTTTCCTGTGCAAACAGTGCATATCTAGGAGTTCAAATGCTGCCTTGCTTACCTTCCAATTTCTTTATGGATGTCATAATAATCTGTCAGCCTGCGCATTTTCCTTAGAATACTCTCCTCATCATCCATTGGGTCCTCTTTACTTTTAGCTACAGTAGTGGCAAAGTATTAATTACAGTAGTTATTAATTTGCTTGTCAGCCATGCAGTCAAGAGATTGTTATAGTTTTGATAGTGTTACCTCTTACCTTCATGAATGGTGAGTTCAGCTTTACAGGACACAGATCCTGCCAAATTCCTGGCAGTGCAGGTGTACACCCCAGAGTCTTCTGGACAGGCGTTTAGGACCACCAGGGAACATTCATTATCATCATACACAAATGTGTAATGACTGCTCTCACACAGCAGGATGTCGTTCTGAAAGCAAATACTCAAAGTTTCAACTATAGTTCTTCCACTATGTTTTACAAAGTGTACTACAAAATGTTAGTGGTTTAGCATATTGTATTGCTTACCTACAGCTGCACTCAGCAGAACAGTATATCAGTAAGAAATGATGAAATGACTTTTCCCTGTTTCTAAAATACTATAGGTTCACCAAAATAAATGTATAAAACATAATAATTGTGAAATAGATCTTTAAAAACAAACAAACAAACAGAAAACCTTGAACCAGAGGATGTCAGGAATGGGTTTCCCTTCCACAACCACAGCAAAACGAGGGGTCTCGCCAGCACAAGCATCCAAGTCCTCCATGATAGTTTCAAATGTTGGCGGAGCTGTGAACAGTTACAGAGGTAAAATGCCAAGTTATGTTAAATTTAGATATAGATAGATAGATGTACTGCCTACCTGCCATCTCCACAATGAATGTGCAGCTATCACTGCCATACTTGTTAGAGGCCACAAACTCCATCTCTCCTATGTCGGCACTCTTCACTTTCATTAGCTTCAGCGTGTGTTGGTCGTCATCTGGCATTGCCATTTCATACAGGCCTGGTTTGCTGGCCAGGACCGCACCCTTCCTGGGGAAACATATTTGTAAATGTTTGGCTCTTGCTTGAGTTTAAGTTGGAACACAATAATAAACTTCTTTTCACTGTTCTGTATTATTTGACAATCAGCTAGAATTATACAGCTGCCTATATGCACTGGCATGGTACTATGCTCATCAGTAATACACTGTGATTATAATGCACTGGGTCCACAAGGTGGCAGCTTTATCACTAGACACTACAAGAATTAAATGTTAAATGATCATGAAAAAACATTGTTACATTGAAAATTACAAATACTACTGCAAAGTTATTATAGTGTAGCTGCAGGAGCCTAATAGAGTTTACTTAATAAAATAAAATAAAATAAATATTGGCTATCTAAATATTCTATACATGCTGGAAAATGTAGCATACGAAGATGCAAGTATAATCATGAAAATGTTTTCTTTATCTTTTTGATACATTCTACTTTCTTTTCTTTTATGCAAAAATAAAATAAAGAAAAAGGCATTAATAGAACAGAATAACAACAGAAATGCAAATACCTCTTCCAGATGATCGCTGCATTGACATGATTGAGAGTAACAGTAATGGTAACTGACTGGTTTTCCATCACATATACAATTTCTGGCTTATCAATAATCACTGGACCCTCCAGAAGATAGGGGCCTTGATGAAAACACACACACAAATAATATTTAATAAACCTCTATTGCACACTAATGGATAGATAAATGGTCTAAAAAGCTGCACGTACCTCGGTCCAGGAGCTGCACTGCATCGGTGGTAGGTGAGGGCTTGCTGAGAGCCTTGGAGGTGATGGTCAAGACTCTGAAAGCATAGCGGACACCTTTGGAGAGGGTGGTGATAGTGTAGGTGGTCTCCTTAAGGGCAGAAGCTATGATGGTCCATTGGATAGAGCCCAGGGCTTGTTGTTGGACGGCATACATCAAAGAACTGGGATCTGAAAGAAGATGGTTTTAATTGAAATGCTAATCTGAAAACAACTTCTTTTATCCTCACACATACAACCATTTTGTAAGATAAGCTCCTAAGAAAGCTTTAAACCAGTTAATTTATCATTTCTTCCAGGGTTGGAGCACAGGAATTAAAACTAGATTTTTAAAATTGTAACAAATTACAATATGCCAGTATCCTATACCAATGGAAGGGTCCAGCCTCCGAGGTTTCTTCCATCTTAATGTGATGGTTTTACCAGTGATGGATTCTATCACTGGAGTCCCATCAGGTGGGTCAGGTAGGATATCTGAAAATGATGACAATGGAATTAAAGGTTCATAAATGTTGCAGATGAACCACGTATCAAGACAAGGTTACAGAATTCACTGACCTACTGTATATGTACAGTATTACTGGCCACAGTTACTGAATCAAAATGTGTTTTGCTTAAGGTATATGGCAAAAAAGTCATGAAAATTACCTGTAACATAGAGATGAGCATAGCAGGTGGCCTTTCCTATTTTGTTAGAGATAACACTCTTATAGACACCGGCATGGGAATGGCACACAGAGCGGATTACTAGGCTGTGGACATCATGATCTACAGAAGAAAGGAATGGTGAGAAGATGTTAGCTACAGTGCAAGCATCTTTGTGTAACTTAACTGTATTTAACATCACAACACTGTCAAAAAAACTATCTTCACCACAGAGACAAAAGCACAGCATTTCTTTAAGTCCTTTAGACCTCTGTTTCTGTTGCCTCTTTTAACCTCTTGTGTTTGTCAGGTCCGCTCGGCGCGACCTGCCTCTCTTCCACCTTTATCTCCTCTGCTCTCTCGATCTTGCGGGATCTGCACCTCAGCTTTGTTGCATTCCAGTAATTAGCGACTTTTTGTCGGTGCGCACAGCTGGGGTGCATCCCGATGATCACCTGTCCTCCTTATTTATACCTCTGGCAGACGCTCTGTCGTCGCCAGAGCATTAACTGAACCTGCATTACCTTACCTTACCTAACTCGCACACCCCATAACAGACATAGTTTTGTGGTATGTATTATACGTCATTTTGCTTTCCACACTGACAGTTCCTGTGCTGTGGATTGCATTTTGTATGTTGGTTATGTGTTTAGTGTTATACGTCCACAGTGACAGTTCCTGTGCTGTGTGTTGCATTTTGTACGTTGGTTATGTGTTTAGTGTTATACGTCCACAGTGACAGTTCCTGTGCTGTGGATTTCCGTTTTCATTCGCCTACCCTCCTGGTTGGCTTGTCTGTTCCCTTGTCCGTACTGATCCTCCTCCTCTCCTGGTTCCTGCCCTTAGCCTGTCTACTCCCTTGGTCGTCCTGTTCTCCTCAGCCGTCTTTGCTCAGCCCTGTTTTATGTATTCATTGACTCTATTCCTTTTGTATCCCCACCATTAAACCACCATTTTTACTAGCCCCTGGGTCAGCAGTCTTGAGTCCAGCCTCAGTTTTCCCTCACCCTCCTGGTGAGGGGGACTAACCATAACAGTGTTGTTGCCAGTAATGACTGACCTCTCTCAGAAACAAGATGAAAGTAGTGTGATGCTGTGATAGTGCCACAAATTCTCACATGAATAAAGTCAATGTAGTTTCTTTTAACCATGCTAGTGCTCTTCCCTAAAACTATCCAAGTAGGTTAAGTTGTAAATTTTGATTCAATTGTCAATTTTACTTCCATTTTTAATAAAAAATCTGAAAGAGAAATCTAAAATCAATTGCAAAGGGTGAAATTACTTTATAAAGACTGAGCAACTTTAATAGGTCCAACCATGGGATGAATGTTAATCAACTTTGAAACACTTACACTGTGTCATCTTTCTGTCCTCGGTGCTCTCAATCCTTTTGCCATTGTGGAACCAGTCAATGGTGGGGTATGGCAAACCGGCCACTTTGCATTTGAGCACAGCCTCCTTTCCTTCGATCACATCCAGGTCATAAAGAGGTTTGATGAAGTCAGGCATAGTGAAACGCTCTACCTCATTCTCTGGGACCTCTGGCTCCTCTGGGATGGATGGCATCTTCTCCAGTTTAGCCCTAAATGGAAGGAAAAAATGGATTAGAATGAGGACACAAGTAAAAATTTTGTCATCCATAAGTCCTAGTAAAACAAGTGAGCTGTGGCTCAACATCTAAGAAGTAACATCTTACATCTGTGAGGAGATGGCTGGCCACGGTTCTTGTATGTACAGTTCGGCAGTGCTCTCTGCCTTGCCATGACAGTTTTGGGCTGTGACAGTGTAAAAACCCTCATCCTCATTAGTCACATGGAAAATGATGAGAGAGTGGCGGCCACCCTCCTGAAGAATACGAACGTCTTCACTTTCTGTAAGTGAATGGTCTAAAGACAAAAGGGGACCAGATTTTAAACATTTGTTTCAGAAAAAAAACATTATTATTATTATTAAAAACATTTCTCACAGATAACCAATGAACAGTTTCACCATGTCTAATGTAGATCCAAATGACACAATAAACTACAATCCTACCAAAGTGGCTCCAGGTGACCTTAGGAGATGGCGTCCCACTGACTTTGCAGTCAAATCGAGCATTACGTCCCTCAATCACTTCTAGAACGTCCAACGTGCGAGTGAAGAGAGGGTCGATGGAAGGGATGACTATGAGTTTGCCACATGAGGTCACTTCCTCTGAAGAGTAAAATTTTATTTTATTAATAGAAGGAACTGAAAGGACAATAAGTCAGTTACTCTTAATATTACATCACACATTTTTTGGGCGTATTTCTTGAGAGAAACCTTTGGCTGTGCTCAGCTTGCACGTATATGTCCCGCTGTCATCTTCGTGTACTGAGTTGAGCAGCAGCCGGCACTTTCTTCCATCAAAGTGCATCTTACAGTTGAGCAATGCCGGCTGGATCAGTTTTCCGTCGGCAAGCCAGTCCACATCTGTGTCCTTCGGTCCGATGACATGACACTCAAACAAAACTGTCTCTCCAGCCATGGCAGTGATGTCTTTGACCGGGCGGATGACAGCCAGATCTGGCTCAACTGGTGAAGCTGGGTGTATATAAAAGACATTTTCTGAAGAGCGCTGTTAAATGATACCTGAACAGTGATACGAACTAGTCGAGGTCACAGTGTCCTGTCACAGTTATGATATCAATGTGCACCCTGACTGACAAGTAAACTAGTGTCAGGAATTTGGGTCACAATGTAGCAAAGATCTGAGTGAAATGTGAATCTTAAAAGTAACATTAAACACAAGTACATTTGAAAAACAACATACCTTTTACCTCCAGCCTCCCTTCACACTGCTTTGTTCCATACTCATTAATGATCTTACAGGTGTATATCCCAGTATCCGACCTCACTGCTGACTTGATTGTCATTTCAAAAGTGCCATCTTCTGTCGCACGTACAATGTGACGTGGGCCTGTTTTTATTGTAACTCTGTCCCTCAGCCTACAAAAGAGCAGAATTAGGGGAACGATTGTTGCTCTGTTTTAAAACAAGAGATGAATCACTCATATACTGTACCACTCAGAGCATTAAAAATGTGTACAACAAAAGATGAGCAAGTGCACACGTTTTCAAATACAAGCTCTCTACTGGCTGGTATGAAGGAGGTGATAGGTGGGATACATTGTCCAGGGCTGCCAATATTATGTTTAGCACCATCCGTTCTGCTATTGTCTCTCGAGAGTCATGACTAACTCCAATAACAAAACCTGCCTGAGTGATTCAGCCTATTCTTGTGCCCTGTATTAAAGGATAAGGCTGCCATTATTCTATATTTTTGTTGTCAAACCTATTGTGTATTCATACTTCCCTATTAAAGCTATTCCCTTTTCTAAAACTATTGCTCAAAAGTAAGCATAACCATTTATTTGAATTTGCTGTGACAAGAAGCCCCAAGTGCATTAGCCCCAAGACATTTAAAAATTGTCACAAATTGTTTATCATTTAAAGAAGGCTCATTATTTTCCTTAGTGTCTGTATTTAGCACTGTAATTTGTAGCATTACTGAAACAGGAGCACAGAGAGCATTTACTAGGAAGTATTTGTAGCTATAGTTTAATCCACAGTTGGTGCATCAGTGAGTATTTATGTCAGCAGCATAGTGTATGTGGCACTGGCCTAAAATCAACAACATGAGTATTTATGTGGCACTGGCCTAAAATCAACAACAGTGCCCAAAGAACACGACACCCAGTCCGCAGTATGGCTCACTGATGTGATTTTAGTAGTTTCTCAACAACAATGACACAAAGGTCTTCTTGTGGGATTTGTTGAAAATAATACAAATACTACCAGCCTTATCTTTTGAAACTGTCCTTGTTAACAACAGCAATAAACCACCATTAGGTGTGGAATGTGTTCTGTAAACAGCGCTGACTGCTGAAGAAGTACAATCACCTCTGGCTCTTCTTTTGGACAGCTTCAGCATTGCATGTGAAGTCCAGATTGTTGTCTAAGTGCTCATTAGTTCAGCCAGACATTTGTGCTTGTGAGCACTGAGAAGTTCCATGGTAAATGGGGAAAGCATGTTATTTTTCCCTTTTCCCTCTTAAGATGGGTACTGTGAGCCTGGAGGTTGTTAGGCTAAAAAAACATTAAGTTTCCACCTCCTGTAACACATGCATTAACACAGCATGCACACGAACGAACTATGCAGCCAAGCAAGCTCTTAGTGATACTAGAAAATTCTTTTCCATGTCCCATGTTAGACATGAGTTTAAGTGGTTTAATGAAGTGAAGAAACCTACCAATACAGCATGGGTTTGGGTTGTCCACTTATTCGGACAGACATGGTGACTTCCTGTCCTTCAATGACAGCTTGATCACTCATTGTTACCTGTTTGAAATGTAATGCAAGTTAGAAACTGAGAGAAGCATTTTTACCTGCAAGTTATTTGGTACATGTGTTGATGGAGTGACTACACAGCAGATAACATGTTCACATGGGAAAATTAATAATGACAGAATCAAGGACATTGTGTACATAACGCTTCCATGCAATATTCTCAATCAGTCAAAAATGCAGTTAAGTGCCAATACTGAACATACAGATGTCATCTCTGAAAGGGAAAGCCAATATGGTAGAGGTTCAATCAGCTATACAGTCTCACCAGGAATGCAGGGGGTTTCCTGAACCGTGTGTCAATAGTTTGCCTTGGCTCTGGTCCTCCAAAATCCATGCCTTCCTCTAGGGGACTGAGATACTCCTCATCAGATGTAATAGGGCTGCTGATATCCATAGGCACACCCAGGTTTCCTTTTGATTCCTGTATAGACACTGTAAAAGCAAAAAGGCTCCATTATGTGTAATGCTGTAGTTTAATACAATTCTGCTTACACATCCTATATGTACTACTCCATGCTATGTGCTTCATTTTGCCTGAGTAAACATTTTGTCACTGAGAGCACAGCTCAGTTAAAAACAACGGAGTTCAAAGGAGGCCACGTGTTAAAGAACACAATATAATTAGAATCTGAGATGTCAGTGTGTGATATACAAACAATAGTGGATTCGGTGAGCCAGTGAGCCTCAGTGGACAATTTATAGGTTCAGTTTTGCCTCTGAGTTGCTATGGTAACTATAAGTGAGGCTGTTCAGCTGGAATATATGGCACACAGACTTTGCTCAGAAAGATAATGACAAGGGAGCAGGAGTGAAATCAGCTGAAACACAATGCCAATGTGGGAAAGGACCTCCAGATGTTTTTCTAAAGATGGTAAATGCAAACTTTTCAAGTGAATATCACATATTGGCCTGCTTTTGAATATATGGAGTATTTTTACATTATTCTATGGCACAATTTAACTGTCCTGTTTAAGTTTTGACAGACTTTAATAACCATTTGATTTGATTAAAATATCTGATTTTATCCAGGTTAAATTGACAGACAGCTCTTTCATTGTAGATAATAATACAATAACATATTTATCATGTAGATCATGACATTATGTTACCTTTCATGGTAATTTCCATATTTTTTTCTGTCTGAACTTCTGTAATTATATTAACAATAAGCAATTGTTTTTGTTGATGCAAAATTAAAACCTGCATTCATCTCTGCATTCATCTTACTAACAAAGCAATTGCAATGTAGCACTATGTTTGCATAATAGCACTGATTTAATAAAAAAGATTGAAACCCTGAGTGGATCACCATAGAAATGTATTGTATATACACTGTATATGTTTTATCTGATAAGTTAAACTTACCTGCTTTAACTGTAAGAGTGGCTCTGCTGGAGGCTTTGCCCACCTGATTAACAGCAGTTACACAGTATGTTCCACCATCACTTATTTGAGCTGATTTGATGAGAAGACTATGTCGTTCGCCTTCTACTTTGACTGTGTAATTGGAAATACTGATGATTTTAGTGTTGTCTCTCATCCAGGTAACTACACCAGAGAAACACATAAGACAAATTCATTTACTTGTATATTGTACAATTCAAAATGGCCTTTGAGGTTTTTGTTGTTAAAACACAAAGGACAATAAGTTACCTTCAGGAATAGGCGTGCCAGCAATGATACATTTTAGTAGCACATCTGCACCAGCAGATGATACAGTGTCCTGGAGGGGAAACTCAAAAACTGGGGCCTCCATTGGGTCTTCACCAGCAGACACATAAGAATCATCTGAAGAATCTGTACATTGTAACAAAAAACAAGCCTGAAGTCATTTTTCCCCATGCTCAAATTACAAGAAACCCCTTGTAGTAAGGAATGGGTAATTTGTTGATTGAACATAAAAAAATAAGCAATCTGGATTCACACTACTACAGAAATAAGCAAAACACAACAAATCTAACCTAACTCTGGAGACATGGGTCGAGGCCGGCGGTTCTTTCCTTTTGTCTTTGGTTGTTTTCCCTCTTTGGCACTAGTAGTAATCTTCTGAGCCTCACATGTCTTCACAGGAACATCCACTTCCATTTTTTCATCTTCAACAATAATTGTGGGAACTCTTAACTTAGGGGCTGATACGGATGGCTCCACTTCCATTTTTTCCTCCAGTGGAGTGACTGGTGACATGCTTGGGGGTTTCAGAATAGGTTGAGGGGGAAGATCTTGCACAGTGACAGTCCTTTTTTGTACCAGTGGACTTTCAGGTTTGTTTTCAGTTTTTCGTAGTACTACTTCCACTGGTGATTTTTCTTCCAAAGTGTCATCCTTCTGTGATGTTTGCGTGGGAGGTTCATGGATGTGTGAAGATTCTTGCATTTGAGATACCCTTTGTACAAGCGGACTAGGGGGTCTTCGTTCAACCTTGTGTAATGTCATAGCAGTGTTTCTGCTAGGCAACTCTTCCTGTTGCTGACGATATAATGCTGGTGATGGTGATCTCTGAATGACTTCTGTTACAGGACTGACTCTAATTAATTCTCTCATTGATCGTTGTCCTGGTAAGTCAGATAACTGCATCGACTCTGGGGTGCCAGAAACCTCTTCAAATCTACTGACTTTTACAGTTGTTAAACCCGTGCTTGTTGTCTTTTGAGGTTGGGATTTATGCTGTTCTTGCTGTGTTTGCTGTTGTTGCTGCATTGGTTTCTGAACTGAAGCCTTTTCTCTTTGTTCCTTTGCCCACTGGGCATGTTCTCTTTCTTGCAGCCTTTGGAGGACTTGTGGAGGGATAGGTTCAATTTTCCTCAAGGGTTGGCGCTGCTTGACCTTCGATGTGAGCTGCTCAGTAGAAAACGATTTCTTCAGATGAGGTTTTCCAACAAGTTTCTTAATGCGCTGCAGCTCCTCAGTGAACTTGTTCTCGATGTCCTGAACTTTTTGGGAGTAGCGAGGTTTTTCCTCCAGTGAAGCAGCTCTCTGCTTAAACATAGATCTCCGTGCAGCAGCATCCTCTTCTAGAGCCTCCCTTAGATCTTCCCTTGAACTTTCTCTTGAGATACCCAACCGGCTTCCTCCATCATCTGAGTCAACAGATCCAGCACGATTGAACCCTGCCCAGGATCTTCCTGAGATAGAGCCTTCTGGAATATCAAGGCTTCGTCTCCGCTCTTCTAAGTCACGAACCTTCTCAAAAACCTTTGAGCTTGCCCTGGTAAGCTTCGGGGATGGTCTGAGAGTAAGTTCTTTCCGGGAGCACTCACTCAGTGGAGTCTGAGGTCGAGAGTCATGGATGTTACTCTGGGACATAGATTTTGGTTGCTTAACTTTTTCTTCAAACTCCCCAGGCACTGTGTCTTGATATTCAGTTGGAACAACAGCTTTCTTCCGCAAGCTGAGAGGTGTAGTTGAACCAGAGCGATTTGGCATTGGAGAGGTGGAGAGGTGTTTGACGAGTCTTGGGGATGGGGGTGGGAGAGCTTGTTGAGGAGATTCTCTTGAAAAATCCACTGACTGGCTCCTGAAATAGAGGATTTGAGGCAAAATCTGTTGGAATCAGTAGGATGTTACTTATTCTGTTGGATATACTATTTTTTTTATGGAATTTGAGTATAATACAGTGATTTGCTGGGTTATTTGCATATTTCTTTCTTGCCTGGTTGTGTTAGAGTGATCCTCATGTCTAGGTGTTTTATTGTCACCTTCTGCACATTTGTCCATCACTGCATGTAAAAAAGGAGATGGTTTGACAAGTTATAAAGGCAATGTCAGGTATTGACATTAAAGTCAGAGTAAAGCAGAATCAGTGTTTTGTTTTTAAACACATTATACACATTAGAAAATAGTTGCTGAAAATGTGAAAAGACTGAGAACTATGTAGTGCTGAATTGTAGAGACTGTTCAGGATTTTTCAGGTGCAGAAGAAAGCATGGCTTGATGACACATTGGAGATGTCACATTGCACATGCTTATTGCACATACAGTAACAAGCATAGGTGCTGTAAACTATGTGTGTGCGTGCCTTTGCTTTACTTACATTATGGGGACTGGAACCTGTTAACACACTTACATTGTGGGGACTCAGCCATCACTGAAATCACTGAGTTTTTGGGTGGCAACATGGTTTAAGGTTAGGATGAGGTTAAATGTTAGGTTAAGCATTAGCGTCATGGTTAGGGTTAAGCAAGTAGTGGTTATGGTTAAGGTTAGGGTAGGTCTAGTGGAAATTCACGTAAGTCAATGTAAAGGCCCCACAAGAATTGAAAACACAGTCTCTCTCTGTGTGTGTGTGTGTGTGTGTGTGTGTACACATAAGCACTACACACTTTTCAAACACTAACACAAAGGAGAAGCATGAAACACCAAAATTATATTTTGCCTAATTTCACTCGATGGTCTTCAATAAAATACTTCTGTAGAGCCCAAATATTGTTTATAGGAATAGCTGCAAGCTGGAAACATGGTAGATACCTGTATGCACAGCCTGGTCCTCAACATCCTCACTACCTTCCTTGGTCTCAGAATGTTCTCCACCTTCATCCTCTGTTGTTTCAGAATCTGGAAAAAAAAAGTTAAACAATT